GAAAAAAGTAATTTCACGAAAAAAGAAATCTTATGAACAAAATGATCGTTCAGGTAAAATTTCTCTACCGAAAGAAAATCGACACAAAAAATAATGAAAGAAATTCAAAGGTGCACATTGTGTTTTCAGCGGAATAAAATTGAAAAAGGCATGCTCACAATCATCAACACCAACAAAAATGTTCATAAATTGGTCGCACGATATAAGGCGAGATCAATAACAAATATTCGATTTATCAAAGAATATTAACGTCATGCACGATATATATTATATGTTTGATACACACTTACTTATTATGATTCTATGGCAAATGTGTTTGACTCGATGGTAACTCGATTGTAACGAACAGATCTCTGAATCATATACACAGAAAGTACTGTTTGTGACGCCCGTGTCTGTGTGATTATCGGTCTTTTTTTTGTCTTGGTGAACACGATATATCGTACGATATTTCGTTTATTTCACACACGCTTAAAATTGTTCGTATTTTACTATATCGCTGTCCCACTCTATATCACCTGTTTACATTTGTTTGATGTTTGCTCTTTCTACAGTTCTTTTTTATTTATCATGCATTTATTTGAAAAAAATCTGCACCACGTTTACATTTCACGGCAGAAATTCTTATCAGTGTGCAAAATGTGTTGTATTTTTTATTTTATTTTTCACGCAAAATGATTAAAAATAATTAAACACACAATTCCAATAATATTAATAAATAAACACATTCAACAAATTTCAAAAGAAATATAACTAAAAAAGAAACTTTTGCAAATGATTGTTCGGAGGAGTTTTGATTAATAACCATGAATAATCACCGCGAATCGATGGTCATATATAAATTTGTTTAGAAGATGTTTTGCTCTCTAGCACTTGTGCACTTGTCAACGATCCACTTTCGACTGATTTCAAATATAAACAGAGAACGAGCACAAGGAATCGGTATTATAGCCGAAATAAATGTACATACATATGGCACAGTATATAGTATGCGAGACGATGAGCACATGAGAGGAAACTGTGATATTCGAAATGCTACTAAACGATGTGTGTGAGACAGAGAGACTCACCGAATGGATAACTAAACAAATTGAATGAAGAAAATATGTAACAAATGACTACAATAACAATTCACACATTCTGCTCTGACTTGGTTAAAGTGAAAAGAAGAAAGGGAGAGAGAGGGAAAGAGAGAGCGCGCGCGCTCATCGAACACGTTACAATGGCACAATGTGACTGAATGGACTTGTGAATATAACATCGTTGTCGGTGATTATGTTATGCTCTTCGTTTCAATTCGCTCAATGTGTGCGAGAATTCTTTTTGTTGCATGCCACTGCGAAAGAGAACAAGTGAAACCGATACATACATATTTTCGGTATGCGTGTATAAGTGACCGGTATCTTTGCCAGCAAATGTGCGTTATATTGTGATAAAGAGAATTGCTCTTTCAATTTTATGCATTGTGATGTTCCTAATTCAATGTGCCTAACCACTGATGTTTGATAGTGCAATGTTCTTGTATCGAAATGTGGCTTTAGAAAGAAGTATTCTTAATTAAATCGAACAAAATATTCCATCATATTCGCTAATGCAATTCCAGGAAAACACAAATAGATATTCGAAAAAATTTAAATCATTTGAAAAAGATTCTTCGAACCTGATCAATAAAAAAATTAAAAATAGAACGAAGATTGATATGATTGCCGAATGAGTGTACGTGTCTTTTTACTATGGTTAGTTACTATGGTGACATGCTTTTAAAATAAATGGATATCATTTTGTTGAGAACATTCAGAGAAAGAGAGTGAGAGAGAGAGAGAGAGAGCTCTACACAAAGTTTAAATCTTTGAATATTTATTTTCTTTAGGTGTTTCATTGGGGAATTCACTCTATTAGGATACACAAACTCTCGAAATTACCCAAAAGTTTTGATAAAAAAAATACCCAATGAAACTTTGACTGTTAAATGTTCAGTGTGCAGGAAAAATTAATTCGGCGAAGCAAACTGTCAACGAGCGTGGTAATTGTTAGGCAATAGAAGAAAATCTTCGAGATAAAGCCCATTGGATTCAGTTAGCATTTGTTAATGGTCTCAAATAAAATTTTATTCATGGAGTCGTTGAAGAGCGCGTGTAAAAGACACATATTCTCTCCATCATCGATATCAAGCCAGCCAAAAGCCGACAATACCATTATGGGCATACATTATATTGCCTAATTTAATTAAACTGACACACTTTGCGACATAATAACAACAACCATTCAAATTTACCAAAATAACACCAAACACAACACGGAATTCAAATCTCGCAAACCAAAACGAACTACATACTGCAGTTGTGTCTGCAGAGAATAATTTGGCGAAAACATATGAATTTAGAAATTATTATTATTATTATTGTGAATATTTTGTGAGGAACTTTATTCACACCACACACAAGCATTCTTCTTCTTTTTTTTTGTTAATGTTCCTTCCACACAACTGTATCATTTAACTTTGGCCGTTAAAATATATTCAGATATTGAGTTGCTTTATCATTATTATCGTTGGGTTCATCCCGGTAAAATTCAGTATATTTTTTGTGGCAGAATGGCGGCAAAAACCACATCCTGAACATACACATTTATATCGTGTTGTTGGTTTTCACCGAATAACACTGGAAGTGTATCTCTCTCTCTCTCTCTCTCTCTCTCTCTCTCTCTCTCTCTCTCTCTGTGTGTGTGTGTCGGTGAGCGAGGGAGCACATGGAAGGCAAACACATATCAAATACAAAAATAAGCATCTTAATTTGTGCACTTGTTTAAGTTGCTAATGCAAATTCACACTGTAACTTTGAATACATTGCACGACATCTGAGATTTACATTTATAAAGATAAATTGACTTGCGCTAAATACATGCATCAAAAAATATTACACTGGATTATATTACACTTGGGATTTAAACGTTTACGGTGGCACCATTCACATTGTGCGAAAAACGTGAACAGCTTGAATGGTACGGAAAAAGGGAAACAGTTTAGCTCTCAACACAGCACAACCAAATTGACCTCTTTTAAAGCTGAAAAAAAAAAGATTAGTATCTTCTTGACTTTTGACTGCTCTTCGTATGAAACGTCACACATTAACACAAACATAATTAGAATGAATGGTAAATGCGAACTAATTTTTGGAATTTTTGGAAAATTAGCTCATTTGGGAGTTGAAAATTCAAATATGCAATTTGCATCGATTATATCCTCAAAAGACGTCGTTCTTCAATGGATTTTGAATTTGAAGTTTTTTTCTTACTTTTCGTCATTCCGTATAATAATTATTATGAATGAATGATAATGAAATTATTCCCAGTTGTAGAAACTTTATCTGGTAGACATATTTTGATAAGTTTTCCGAAATCGCCGTTTTATTATTATTCAATAAAAGGTCTTCACTTGACAAAGGGACAATAGTTATTTTTTTCGTGGAACAACAATTAATATGTGACGATAGATCTATTGACAATACATACAAATGCGAGTATTACGCCAATATATGAATATTCAAGATCACATTTCAAATGGTATGAATTGCAAATGTTGTGCTTGGATCTGTTCAAAGAAAAATATCAATACACAGTAAATAGTTTAATATCTGTAATATGAGACATGTTTTTACTATTTTTTGCCTGCTTGAACAAGGTCAAAAATCACACCACATTATTTTTTGCTCATCTAGTCATACAGATTTGTTGATAATGTTTTATTGCTAAAATAATAATGCGTGCTGTATTAGCAATCGTATGATTCACTTGAATGAACAAAACACAAAAAACACGCTGTATGAAAAATATATGGTGGATTTCTGACGTCAGTGTAAATGGGAATCCCATTCCCTAATGTGTGTTCGATTGGGTTAAAGAAAAAATTGGTGAAAATCGCCAGAAAGAAATATGTTGGAAATTGTTTAATTTCAAGATTTATCAAAATCTGTTTTTCTAAAACAGTGAACCGGAGGGAGTTTACCTCCCCTGTGATTTGTATGAGAAACATTTTTTGTGAAAATTATACGGATTTGCTAGGGTTTTTGGTTCAAAAAGTATAGACCTTTTTCAGCTCATCAATGTGGAAGAAGAAACTCTTCCAATTTGCTAGGAATTTTTGGATACGAAATACTTTTTCTGATTTGCTAGGGTTTTCGCGTAGAATTGGAATTTTTGCCCAAAAAAGTGATCTCCAAAAAACGAAATAAACACCCCCCTGAAAAATTTTGTTCGCACGTATCCAATATTTTTTTTATGAATAAACGACCATTGAACATAATCAGTTTCGCAAAAAATTGTAAAAATGTCAATTACCATAATTATTTCATCAAATTCTCCAAATTGTCCTCTCATTCAAGATCTTCTAATGATAAGAAACATCCGTTTTCCATTTACAGATTGCACGATGGATGAATAAAACATAAAAATGTGTTTGTAATCAATGTTCAGATTTATTTTTCATCCTACGAAATATCAAATTAATTTAAATAAATGATTTCATCTGTAAACAAAAAGAAAACATTCTGAATTTATTTTCATAGTTTTATTCCACTCCGTATAATGTATTGTTGTAACAAAACAGTGGAAAAACTTCATTTACTCTGTTTTGTGTAAATTGTAAATATAACAAATTCCAATTTATAAATTATTACAACTTATATTGTCGTTCCTGATGCAAATTATATGCTCGTTAAAATTCCGAGCAAAAAACCATGCATACGCAATTGCGATTTTATGCACGCAAAAAAAAATGTGGATGAGAGAAAACAAATTTCCTTGAATTGATTCAGATGAAATCTGCATTGTAAGTGGTACAAATAATAAAGTAATTTCTAATTAATGTCGATCTCATTAAATGATCTTAAATATTTGAAATTCTTAGAGTATCGATTAACATTAGGGAGGAAAAAAAATCAAATTTTTTTCTAATAATAAATGAAACTGAAGCAGATTAACAAAGCAAATAAAAAATGGATTAATTTAACCTCAAATCAACTGTATACATATGCATAAATGAAATTTTAATTTTTATTTTCTGCTTTTTTTGTTTCGGTATAAATGTTTTTTAGTTTCATTTTTTACGAAATTTTCCTTAATTTCTTACATAAAATTATTTGTAAATTTGACCATTTTCTTTTCTTTTTCTAGAGATGCAATCAGTTTCATTTTTTTTTAACTTTCTGTGTTTTCTTCTCTTTATACGAAGCCGAAGTTCTTATTCTTGATGGCTAACAGTAGTTTGTGTCGTAGAACGGCTTTACTCGAATACAATGGAATATACAGTCGTGATATACATGTATTGGCTGTTGGTAAATGTGCATCGTCGGCCGGTCGAATTGTCACGGATGGCATTGGCTGGAAACCTTCTTCAGAGGCTGGTAACGCTGGTGAACCAGTCCAGAAATAAACCTGTTAACACAAACAACAATCTGTAGTTAGTATTAATTCGTTCATAAGAAAAATTCCAACGCAAAAGAATTTACGAACCAAATCCTGTCGTTCCAAGTTGGTCATTTTTTCCACGATGCTCCACAACCATCGTTTGAATTTGATTAATTTTTCGCCACTTTCGCTGGACTCATCGTTGAACGTTGTATATGAAATTAATGTGCTCACATTTATATCACCAACGCCATTCAATAGTAATCGCAAGTCTTCAGCTGTCAAAAAGTCTAATGCACCACTTGGTAACACATCAAATACACCAGATCGAATAGCCTTGAAGAATTTCGAAAAAAAAATTATTCATTTTCGAAAATCGATTCATATATAGAAAAGCAATGCAACGACACTTACCTCCAATGATTTCTCGTGTGTTTTAATTAGTCGATAGTTTGCATAAAGTCTTACATAATCGTAGACATTTACTTCGTTCACTTGAATGTTTCGTCCATTTGTGACGAGCTCAACCGAACTGTTACCTTCTTCAGGCGTCAATGTAATTCTGTAATGAATATCAGTATGTTTTAATGCTGTAACTAATTAAATTGATGTTTTTTTTTTCAAATTCGATGAAACTTACACAAAGTTCAGTTCCAAATTGGCTAGAATATTAACTCCGTCGTTCTTTGTCGACTCACAAACAAGTTGTCGAAGGCTTTCATAAACCACCGGATCAAAGAATGCTAAATCGTGGAAGCGTATCGGTCGACCTAGGATATACTTCAAAACATGTCGTTGCAGGAACAATGGGAATAGTTCATTTTGCAACAAACATAATCCAATCAATCTGAAAAAAATCATCAAGATAAAAAAAATAAAAAACAGAAAGCGTGAATTGATTCTTACCTTCCAACATTTCTAAATGCATTCAATCGTTCGTAACTACCGAAACCTTCGCGTGGGCTATAATAACCGCACTTTCCGGGTGAATAAAATAAAGGCGCATAATCGTCGATTGGACTTTCATCCATTCCAAGTACCACAATTGGATCCATACGTTGTTTGGCTGGTGTTCGTGGGATCGCAGCCGATGATGATGTTCCACTTGCATTGTTACCTAAACCATTGTTGCTCGAATCTGCATCGACGAAGAGATAGTATCTTAATAATGGTGTTCATGTTTATGATAAAATTTAAATGCTTACCCATTTCTTGTCGTTGACGATAAAGAATTGTGTCCATGGCTTCGTCGGCTTTTTGTCGAAGTGTTTCTTCCGATGCAAGAATAATGAGAAGTTGCGGTGCCGGTAATTCAAGCAGCATACCTGTAATCTTTTGTGCATTGGCCGGATGCAGAGCAAACACTTTTGGATACAATCGTTCGCCCAATTGTTGTAGATTATGTGGCAGATGATCGTTTAAATTTGAATTTGAGTTGCCGCTATTATCGGTTAAGTTGGATGGTCGATATGGGCGAGCATCATAGTTGAGTGATCGTTTTGGTTCGCGATTTGGTCGCCATAATGTTTTATTTCCGGATATGCGACGTGTTGAGCTACTCGATGAATTTGATAAATCGCGACTGCTTTGATTATTTGATGAGCTACCGCTGTTGCCAATGCGATGACGTGAAACAACTGCAAATGGCATTGAATATTTGCCAGTCGATGAACTGGTCGATGATCCAACTTGTGCGGCATCAAGATTTGGTAATTTTTCATTGGCGAGCAATGCTTCAGCGATTGATGTGTAAAAACTGCGTGCAACGCCCGAACCTTCTCCCGGTTCATCTTTGAATGTTACTTTAACACGATTGAAGGCAAGTGGTGGGAATAGACGGCGATTCTGATTATTGAAATGTGTATTTAATTCTTTGAATGTTTGAATCAAAAGATTGCTACGATTTCGTTCCATTTTCAATAAAGTTAAATCGCGTTGTTGTGCATTTCGTAATTTTTCCATGTGTCGTCTAAATCGGGCCTCTTTTACTGGAAAACCACGTAATTCGTAAACAATTGAACCGGGCTCTAGACCAACATCTTCCATAAATACTCGACCGAATAAATCAAGCGATAATCTCCATCGGCTCAACAATAAATCCCATGTTGGTGGCGGCGGTGGTGTTGCAAATAAAAGCGTTGGCACAGATGGTGTGACTCGGAAGTATTGACCACGCGGTGCCATCGGATCATGTACTTGACGTGTAGTAGCATTCAAATCGGGACTCGTTTCGACCGTTACATTGGCCGATATCTCTTGAATGTCCATTGTTTCGGCATGTTGCATAACATCATTTTGATTTGCAAAGTTCTGTAAAGAAAGACATCAGAATTTAATTAAGTATGTTTGGATATTGAAGCACGTTTCAAAAGTGCAAAAAAAGTAATCAAATTAAGATTTTGTACACTTCGTATCTGTTCCCAAAGAAATGACTGAATCATTTTGAGATCATCAGAAAGTGAATTTTCGTGTCGGGTTTAATATCAGTGCGAATTGAATGTTGGACTTTCCATCAATACGGTATCTATAACCCATTTGAATTGAATAATTTTTTTTCCATAATATACTCACCAATGATGCAGACGATCCAACGCGAACGATGACACTTTTTGATGGCGAACTTGAACTACTTTGTCCGGACATTTCACTGGATGTGGTTAAAGCACTTGAATTTGAATCAGTTTGTGTGATGGTAAAGCTTGACGGATCGCCTGGCGATTCTTTATTTGAACTTTCACTTTTAACGGTTTTTGCAAAGGCCGATGATTTTCGTGGTGAAACAATGATTTGTGGTCGAATGGTGGCGTTGCCTGATGACGTTGATTCATTGTTTTGTTGATGTGTATCAAATGCTCTTGTTTCACTTTCGGCGTCAATCATTTCAGTATCACCGTCCAATTCAAGTTTGGCCACCTTTGATTCGACGCTTGCTTTTGACAAATCTTGTGGTCCATCGGTGCGTTTTTCATTTTCATAGAAATCGAAATAGGTTTTCTTCTTCAATTGCATATAAATATTATATCCTTCAGGTGCTGGACGTGTTGGTGTCTCTTTCGATGTGCTTGGACCCGGTAAACTTTGATTGTTGTTTGGTGTTGTACCTGCTTTACCAACTGTCTCCGTTGCAAGTTCATTTTGATCTGGTTTCTTTTCAATCTTTTCATCGGCTGAATCAATCGACATTAATTGATCCTCTTGAAGTGTAACATCGTTGCTTGACTCCTCTTTGTCGTTGACATTATTGACCAGACCTGAATTTGGTGCCCGTTGCGCCGGTGACATTCCCAAGTGTGTTGGTGGCAATTCCAATGGCGATGATACTTCGGACGCTTCGTTTATTCGTCGTAATGTGTCCGGTTGTTTTGGAATTCCAAAAAGATCTTCACGGCTTGCATTCGGATGTAGTAAGTGCGGTTGATCGGCCAACGGTAAGGCTTCATTCATTGGCAACGTAAATGGATCGGGTGGTGGACAACCCAAACATAATGTCGATTCTGAACGTTGAAAGAATGTGTGTCGGCTGCCCGACGCATTTGATAGTTCGTCATCGATTGATTCATTATCACAGTTCATTTGAATCTCGTATTCACTGTCATCGTTTTCATTTTCATCGGCATCCGTCCATGAGCTACTGTCCGATTTGTCGTTGTCGGTACTGGAACGCATGTAATAAACAATACCATCGACAACATATGCAATGTGACGTAGTGCCGTTATATCGAGAACGGGCAATGAATCACGATGTTCTGAACTATGCGATCGCATCAATGATAATGCATACGTTAGAAAATCACGGCGCGATGATTGTGCGTAGTTATCACGATCGAAATTTCGTTGATTGTCTGTATTTCCTGAAAAATTAGGAAAAAAACGATGAAATTTCGCAGAATTCAAACAGAACAAAGTGCCAAACGTACCACTGAGAATATTTCGACTTCCAGAATTTGAAGAATCAATCAAACGAGTGCGTGACTGTGAACTGCCACCGATTACATTCAATCCACTCAATGTGGCTGACGATGATGCTTGCGGAGGAGCTGAATTCAAATGAAGCGGATGTAATGGATGCGACGGATCTGTTGAATGGGTCAATGATGCACCAAAACGTAGTTGAGCTTCTGTTGCATCCATCACATTCAAGACCCAATCCCATGTTGGCTTCAAGCGACTTTCCAAAGCCAACTGTTATATCAATATGGAAAACATATAATCATTAGTTTTTATTCGTTTGAAACAATTCGACAAAACAAAATCAATTCGAATTAATACTCACATGTAGTTCGTTAGCTTCTTGATAGGAAATGTTCAAATTTTGTAAATTTCCGCCTGCATACATCTCATTAACGGTATTGAATAGTTGGCAAACTTGACGTAAAATAATGCCAAATGCACGTGCTAAGCTGCTTGCTGTGGTAAGCATTGATGGTGGTTCTTGTGCTGCTGTAACCGGATGATTTGTGGTACGACGCAATGCAGCTGGATCAATGAAAACCAAACCAGAACCACTGAAACAAAAAAACACACAAAAATATTTAAGAAATATATTCGACGAATGTTCCAATGATGAAGCTTACCTCGTCAAGCGAACAGTTGAGCGTGTTGCATCACGATTTCGAATGGCCCATTGCATTGATTGCGGTGCCAAATTACTACGTTGATTTCCACTGGTTGTAGTTCTACGTTCCAATTGTTCGTCATTGAAAATGAAATCCTCTTGTGAATGTTCGTCCGTTTCACCATCTTCCGATCCATCGTCGGGTGGGCTTGAATCATCTGAATCATCTTCATTAAGAAGTAAAGATACGACACCAGTATCCGAACCGGCTGTTGCACCCGTTTGAACACTACGTTGTGCATCTTGTGTGCTTTGATTGTCATCGGAATCGGATTCAGTTTCAGCTTCGTGGAAAAATTCATTGTCACTCTCGCCTTCGGGTACAACTTCATCATTTCGTAATGCATCTTCGTCGTTATTTGAACGCGTTGAATTGTGGCGATCACGTTCAGAGTGTGTTTCATCTTGTTCAGAAGCATCACCATCATCGGCAGCATTATCAATGACTGCATCATTGTCCATGGCATCGTCTAAATTTCGGAATCGTTCACTTAACCGTGCACCCAAACTAACATTATCAATTTCGGCTCTCAATGTAGACAAGCGACTACCGTCAATTTCGCGCGCTGCAGACGGTGCCAATGGTTCAACACTGAATAAATCATCGGCACTATCGGTTGTTGATGATGTTAATGAAAATGGTGCTGTTGGTCGAACAACACCCATTCGAACCGGAGCAATTAATGCATCGGCTGTATCGATAAGTTCTTCAATCGAGATTTTGATCAACATTTGGAAAACACGTCGACACGTTTGAATGTGTTTCATTTGTGTGGAGCTGGTTTTCTTTTCTGGATTTGGTGCTCGTTCCAAACTGAATACAACAAATACCCGGGCCACTGAACGAATAAAACGTCTTGCAACCTTGTGTGCTTCATCAATTCGATTCGGTATTCTTGCATTTTGCAATTCTCTATTCAATGTATTGAGCAATGTGTCCAATGGATCGCCATTGCATCGAACGAATAAACTGTGTGTGAATTTATCTAGTAAAGTTGTGCCACTTTGTCCTTGTAACGATGCATTTCGATCTTCTTCGTCAAGACGATTGTTGCTTGAACCCGAACCCGATACAAGCTCTTGATCGGCGGCTGTCATGATCATTGCTTTGACCGCATTCCAATCAGCAAGCATATGATCGAGAGCTTTTTTCGCAAAACGTGGCGGTTCCAAATCATGATCGGGCATATCATTTTCGGTATCAAGTGATGGTGTTTTTCGATTGCCAGTTGTGTTTCGTGCACGTGAACGATATTGACGTTGTTCGTTTGTTTGACGACCCACCGTTTGAATGAGAAACAATAAAATTGGTTCGTTGCGTGAGTTAACACGTCGCACCAAATCAGTTTCAGCCACAAGTTTTTCTAATAGTTCAAATCGTTTTTTCTGATTACCAGCCACAAGTGCTTTGCATTTACATTTTTCCCAACAATCACAATATGCCGTTGGCGATGTCTTTTTCAGTTTACAGTCGTGACCTTTGTGACAGACTTTTGCACATTCGGTGCAACAGCACAGTGATCCAGTCAGACCGCATGTTTTACACTCAAAAATGTCTTGATTTATGTGATCGGCACCGGTCCATGTGAATGAGCATGTATCATTACAGCACAAAACATACAATGGTGATTGGTCGGGCGATGATCCTTGTGGGAAGATCATTGCATCACGAAGATTTGCATCACCATTTGCCACTTGTTGTATAACATTCAATAGATTTTTACCAGCTTGATATGCTCGAGATGAAACCGCTAACATGAATGGAGTCTGACCTTGTGCGTCTTTGGCGGAAAGCAATTGCTTCAAATATGGTTGAAAAACTGGACTTCCGCAAATTTGACCAAGAATCAGTGTTGCATTTTCACGACGTTCAGCCGGATCTGATACAAAGGCAACTTCTCTGGAACGTTCGCGTGTAATTTTATTCTTCATTCCGGTCATACTATCCTCGTCACCCGAATTCAATTCCAATTCAGCTGGCCAGTATGCAGGGAACGAATTCGATTCATCTTGTGACGGAGCATTGATATTTGAATTGCTTGCCAGTGAGTCAATGTCACGGGCACGACGCATCATTTCACGTAAACTCACACGATTGTCTCTTAGATTACTGCTAGCCGATGGAATCTGTGCACGGATAAGATAATTGAAAAATCAATTTATTAATTTGATACTCAGTTTATCACAATTATTTCGAAACTTACTTGATAGCATGGGAATTGTGTGTCTAAATTACAATCCATATTACTACTACTCAAATTCGAAGCGGGTAGATTCGAATTATTTGAGTCATCGTTATCCTTGTTACTGGTTGGCGAACACATTGACACACATGCATGGATAATATTTCGATTTCCATCGCATCGTTCATTCAAAATTGAATTGATTTGACCTTTTGCATCGGCGCTCGATTCAATTTGATTCAATATTGTTTTGAATCCTTTAAAGTCACATCTTAAAATACGTTGCATAAGCAATTGTGTTTCGGGAACTAAAGCCAAAATGGCAATTTGTGATTTCATATTCGCACCAACCGAATTCAATGTAATTGTTGTTGCTGCTAAACATTTAATCGGTTGTAAGTCTAACCAATGCGGATCACGAATTGCATCCAAACAATCTTTAACTAGCGGATAAATGGTGCTGTTGCCATCACGTAAAATTAAAACGCTATCGTTTGTTTCATTGGCGCATGTTAGCGATACATTGTTCTGCGATAGGCCCAAGAAGGCATTTATGTCAGTTGGAAAGCTGCTGTCATGCTCCAATCGACCGGTATTTAAATTATGCAAACAATAATGTAATTTTGAGCCAGTTCGTACGATTGCATGTATTCCTTTTGTGTCAACCGAAATGGTTAGGATTTGTTGTGGTGCGGTATCGGCTACGCCTGCCGTTGATGTTGTCAACGAAACGCGTCTGGGTGTCTTTTGGAAACATTCTGGTACACGAGATGCAGTTGCCGATTTTACTGACATTAAATCTTCTTTTTTCATCAGACGACAATCTTGCCATGCATCTGCATCATCTTTTGACTCAGAACCGGATGATGTTGGGAATCGAACGGCTGCATAATGACCATCGATTTTTAAAATACGACCAATTGGCACTGAACGTGTATCTTCGACAAAAACCACATCTCTGCAAAGAATTTAGATGGTAAGCATGGTTGGCGATTTTTTTTTTGCGAAATTATTTATGGTTGCACTTACTTCAACATCCATTGTTCTTCATCTTTTTTCGGGTCGCTTTCTTCTTTGGGTGCGGCTCGTTTTGCTCGTTTGTGTGAGTTCACACTACCTGTATCACTGCATGTGCCTTTAATTTGAATATACAAATATGTTATTTAAATTTGCAAAAAAAAAATCGTGATAAAAAAATTATTTACTTGAAGCGGGCGACGGTGGTGGTGGCATATCCAAACGATCTGCTGTTTCTTTGTTGCTTCCACTTGCACTGGGTTTTGCTACACTGCTTGTACCTCCGCCACTTGCAGCTATATTGACATTTGAAATAAATGGTGATGAAAATGCAAATGATATAAAATTCCTCAATTTACCTTTGCCACCTTTCTCGACCAAATCTTTCAAATCACTTGACGTCAAGCTGCTTGATGGAATTGAGCTAGTAATATTTGAAGATGATACGGTGATAATTTTAAAGCGACACATATCAGTTAGGTCCCAAGCTGAGTTTAACAATTGTCCCACTTTTGGAACGCCATTCGAAATGGTGAATCCAATTGCGCCTGGTTGATACATTGGACTATTTTTCATGCACACCTGACTGCCAACAGTCAATTCAGCTGAACTGGCGCTTGAGCGAATTGGTTTCTTCGACTTGGCCTGTGAATGAACAACGTTCGACTAGATCATTTAAAATCCATGTCATTAAATAACTCAGTGATTTTTCATTTATTTTTTTATTTATATATATAGATATCTCACCTTTGAACGATTATGTTTTTCCCATAAACGTTTGCGCTGTTCAAATGGTAGCACACCCCACCAATAAAGACCATTATTTTCCGTACGCACGACCGTATAAAGTGTACATGTGTACAATGAATGAATTCTTTCGTTTACAAATTCTGGAAATAATGTGGCAGCATGTTCGAGCTTATTGCCACTGTGACCAAGCAATTCATCCATCCATGTTGCGACCCGATTACTTTCGGTTGCAATGGTGCATCGAATCGATGTAGCTGATATTTGACACACTTTTTCATAGATTAAATTCAACGATTGTGTTTTTGGATGAAAAATGCTTGGATTTTCATGATTTTTATACGGTTCGCTATCTGACCATCGCCATTGATGTAGTTCGCCTTTCGTTGAAATTGCGATAAATTCTGAATGTAAGGCGGCAATGTGTGTGAACCGAACCGGTGAATCACGTTCTGGCCACAATTCCAAATCATCTGATATCCATAATGGTAATCCAGATGATGAGTCTTTCTTTTTTGAATCTGTCATAAATGCAAATATGAATTTTTAAATAAATACCAATCATCATTTACCATCATATTTAAATCTTACCGTTATCTTTTTCCCATTGTGTTTCTTCGCGTGAATTTTGAAACCATCGTCTTGGTCCATAATATTGCCGATCACGCCAACGACTGAACGAATCACGATCTACAGCGCTGCTGCTGGAACCACCGGCACCATCTGAAACACGCAATTGTAGTTAGTACATACATATGGTTGACATTTATGTCATTGCTATGAGTTTTAACATACCTGGATTTGATGCGCCTCCACTTCGACCACTTCCAGATGCATTATCGTTCGATGTTCCGCCTAAATTGGCACTACTATTTGCATTGCTATTCGCATTGGATCCACTACCAGCATTGTTACTATTACTCAGTTGATTGCGATCGTTCCGAACCCGACTGTATAATAAACTTGTTTCAGAAATTGAAACAATTTTTGGTTTCGATTAACGATTTGTTTGTGTGACCAGATTAAAATTTTTATATTTGAGAGTGTATACCATGTATTTAAAATGTAAAAATCAATTAATTTCTTTTATTTTGATTTCGACTTAATTCATTTTATTCTACACAATGTTCGTCATTGTTTGTGTGAAATTTACTTTAATCATCGGCCAATGAGTGCAATTTAAAACGCTCTCAAATATCATTTTATCGGTCGCACACAGGATTGCCAATAGAATCGATAGTTTTAACCGATAGCTTTGTTCATTCCAATGAAACGACAATTAACATAAAATGAATGAATTGAAAACAAAATGGAAAAATGGAAATTAAGTGGAAAATGAAAAGTATGTAAGGCCGTTTTAAAGGTGGTTTTTTTTTGTTGTTTTTGTCGAAGCAATTATGCCTCATTTTCACTCTCTCTCTCTCAATCGAAACTCAATTTGTTTTTTAAAAAAATATGATATCGAGACTTTTGATATACTTACTTGCGAATGCTAGAATAACCGAACATTTCATCTGAGAACATAGTGTCTGCGTCAATAATAACACTGTTGTCTGAATGAAAACTGTTGTCTAACAACGATATTAAGTCTTCCGGTGCATAATTATCGCTGCCCTCTTCCGTGTCATCACCTTCTTCATCGTCACGCGATAGCAAATTATTAACGGCTAAATTAACATCCAAATTTGTACGCTATCAAATGAAATGAGAAAAATTGATACAAAATTGTTTAAGAATTTCAACATCTTTTTGTTTCGTGTGTGGCAAACGAAAATAATATTTACCTGTAATTCTCGAATGATAACATTGCGACTCTTGCCCTGCAAAACAACTTGTGCTTGCGAAACTAATTCTTCTGGAACGAATGGTGCTGGCACGGTAACCAATGGTCTTCCTGATGAACCGCTGCCAATAATTACACCTGTGCCACGTGAACTGGAGCCAGAACCAGCTTGACTGCCGCTGCCATTGTTACGAACCGATGTTGTTCGCATGATGCGTGCACGCGAACGAGCCAACTGACGTGACGTATTCGCCGAACTCTGTTTTGCATTTGCCGATGCATTGTTTGCATTTGACGAACCAGCTCCACCAGCATTTCTATACATTTTAATCAAAATTTTATTTTATTTTTCGATAACAAAAAAAAAACAACAACATTGTTTTTCAATAAATTATGGTTTTTGTTAACATACCCTTTGTTTGGTTCTGATTTGCTCAAGTCTAAACGCTCAGCGATAACGGTAAATGCAACTCGTAGTGCACGACCATCTTCAAGCAGTAGACCCAAATGTGATGGTCCAATGACTATTTGTTTTACTGGTGTTTTCAACGATTGCAACGCTTGAGGACTTTGTGCACCATATTTATTTATTTTATCGGCAACTTCACGAATTCTGTATAAAAAAAAATAAATGACAGTAATAAATATGAGGGCCCACACACAGAATCAAATGGAGTATTAATATTTATTTTCGACGGTTTTTCGGCTTGAAATTTCATATCTATAGCATATTTAAATGAAAAAAAAAAAGTTTCCGGTCATGACATGTGCTCTAATTAAATCAGTTCCATCGGCCCAGCCCAACAACATATAATTTGTTCGTGTAATCTTCGATTGGAGCAGAAAAAAACATTCAACTCAAAATAAAAGTGCAAAGCAGAAGCGCATACATGTTTAATGGTTGTTACAATTTAGCACGAAAAATGTGCTGACATCCATATTTTTTTCTTCTTCTTTTCCTTCTAATGTGTCTACAATACACAAAATCAATATGGAGAAATATTTTTTTTTTTGGATTATGGAATTGCGGTCGGAAAAATCTTGTTCAGTAATTTAATTATCTGATGTGTTTGGATTTGATCATACATAAAATGCAAAAGCGGCGAGAAGAAGGAAATGTTCAACAAAAATACTGCGATTTCGACGCAAAATACGAATGAAAAAAAAATGTGTGATTCGAACACGATTAAACATGTATTCAAGTCCAAAACGTGGTTTTTGTTGTTGCAATTAATAAAATTTAAGTATGTGTGACTCTTTTTATTTGCAGGTTAACAACGTTCACTGTACGTTTTTCTTCTTCTTCTTCTCTCTCTCTCATGTATCTACTGGCACACCGTTCATATGGTTGATTCATTTGTGCTGAGCTGTGTGTGCTCAGTGTCGTCGCATCATATGAGAATTTCTTTTGTACAAATCACGGCACAACAACAACATTCAATTTTTATCGCTGCCTTCAACACTTACCTATCATTCAATTGGTCCTCACTGCCCGATGGTAATGGATGAACCACAAAATGTAGCGATGATGATGATGTTGATGATGATGATGACATAATTTTTTTTTTACTTTGAAAATATACACTTGCTCAACACAAAAAGGCGTAAATTTTCATGTATTTTCCACCACACCACATCAATTTTTCCACAAATTGTGCATATAATTTATCGATTTGTTTTAATGTGCGCAATAACTAATATCGTAACCAACGAAAAAAAGAAACCACATTCAATGCGTAAAGTTAAAAATTCTTTGAGAACAAAAGAAGGGTACTCTTATATTTTTTGTCACCAACTTCACGACTTGCTTTTATTGTATTGATTGCTTCGATTGTGGTGAATGTAGAACAGAATGGCTATCACTTTTTATGCAATTTCGATTAAATTGTCTTAAATCCTAGTTAAATTCAATGTTTTTTATATTGTTTTTTCAAACGCAATTCGACGAGAAAATGAATTGGAATTTTCTATCGACCATTTGCGGCCATATTTTTTCGCGATTTGTACACACACAATGGGGAAAAAAACTCTCTTTTTGTGTTCCTCTTGTTCGTCGATTCTTTTCTGATTTGTTCGCTCGGTGCCAATAGTAAGCATTGTATTTTCCCAATTGGAGTGAAGTTAGTTGTGAACACATGACACATTCATCGGCGGATGGCGCTCACAACGACACTTCATTCGACACAATGAGTGCATCTAAAGAGACACCGCACATTATCTATTTTGTGCATTGATTGAATTTTAATTTCAAATGAAAAAAATTAAATACATTTCATTGGAATTTGTCAGATTTTTTGACTTTTTTGTTGTTAAATTTTTATTCGAAGATGAAAAATAAACTGAACAAAAATAAAATGTAACAAAACAACAATAATATCAAAACACAATGAACAAACAACTGTTTGACGCATGCTAATTTGAATGTATATACCTTTATATACAATGTATTGTATGTTGTATATATATATGCCTTCAGGCTTGAATGATACGCACATCAATTCAGAAATTTCAGTACATGTGAAGATGTGCGCGAGCTAAAAAGACAAGACGTAGAACGCGAAAAAAAATTATTGTTTGATTTGAGCTCTTATTATTGAATTAAAATTTCATCAAGGTATAATAAAACTCTTCAATTATTTACATTCCGTTGAAATGACTGCCAGTGTCCTTTCATCGGAATTTTGTGATAATGTGGTCAATGTAAGTTCCAAATTTTGACTGCTAAACATTTTGTTTTGATAAAAAGTGACTTCGTCCATTAATGGTGGTATTTTTTTAATAAAACTTCCCTTCGAAAAACCAAATCGCATTTAAAACAATCAAGGTGAAAGCGAATTTTATACAATGATAAAGAAAAATCGGCAATAAAATGTTCATTTCTAAGCCATTCATTCTATTGTTGTATACGGACAGCTGAATGTTGTGCAATGACGTAACAAATGACGGAATATGCATAAAAAATGAAGAAAAAAAACACACATATATATACGGCAGACAGAATAAAAATTTCATGAATAGTAAACAAAAGTCGTGAAATTGTAAATACACGCGTCAACTTATCACTGAAATGCCGACAGAGCTGCTTACATGCTACTATCCAATTTGATACGTCTCTGTATAAATATTACATTCCAATTAGCATTAGAGTGCAGTCACACATCGTTTAAAGGAAAAACGTTTGCATTGCTAAAAGTGATTTTTATAGGCCATGCCAAATATCAGCCTATCGCATTCAATGAGTGTTAATGTAAAAGAATTATTGAATGTGACGTGAAGCATGGAATATCGCTGAAACAATCGGTCGCTGTTCTTTTTAGCTGGCCAACGAAAAATGCTAATTTTTTTTATCGATTTTCCGTTTTTTTTTTCTGTTTAGCCTCGCACTTGTCGGTTCGAAAAGAGTGTCTCATTTGTGTGCGCACTAAATAGTGATGGTTTAAGATAATAATGTATCGGAATATTTAAGCTCGTTCAAAACGTTCTCCATGTTATTGTACCGAATACATGCGTCGTAAAAATTGCGGCCAATTGTTCACAATGATGATGTCGCACTGTCTAAACACGACCCCTTGTCTCTTTCGAAATATTGATTTCATAAATAAATTATTGCATTGAATTGTAACTGGATTAAGGAAATCAAATTTGTTTTTTCTTCTTCTCCAAATACGTTATTGTGATTCCACGAACTACTATATCAACGTTAAATCAAATACATAGATAAAAAGCTTCGGATGACTATTTGTTCCTTTTAGTTCATGCGATGTTGCTCAATAAGTTTTTTTTAGTTTTGTTGTTACGCGTTTTTTTTCTCTGTGGTTGTCGTCGAAAAGATTGCGTGTTAGAGAGTAAATTAAAATACAATTGATAGATAACAAAATAAAAGGGGTGAAATAAACGAAGACACACAATTCATTTTCTCAAATGCAATGACAAAAGCATGTATATAAGCACGACTCAAATAACATGCACCATACCACATAGAATCGATTCGGAAAATCTCTCACTCCATGTCACCACATCATGCACATAAAAATACTGGCATTGAACTTTCCACTTGGTCTGACTTTGTGTGTTCGCTTTTGTCATGTATCCACTTTGCGGCTAATCCATATACGAAAAGGAAGAAAGAAAGTGTGAGTGAGTGAGCGAGCGAGTGAGTGAGAGAAATAAAGAATGAGAATTTGTGCTTAAGAGGCATACTACAACAATACGTGGAGAATGGAAAAAAGCGACATTATCGTTTTGTTTTAACTTCAGAAAAGTGATCAAAAAACAAAAAAATGTTTACATTCGGTCTATTTATTTCAGGTTTGCCAACATCAAACTTTTCAACCATGAAATGCTATCAATCTGATGTGAACCAACAGTAGTTTAGCTAAAGCCAACGACGACAATAGAAAACAAAAAGAAACAACAACTACAAGAGAAGAAGAACTAACAGCCATCGAATAACAAACTGACAACGATTCCAATCCACAGAAAGGTGCAAACACAATAGAAAGCAACGTTTTCAAAAACTTCGATATAGATTATAAACCAAATGTGACAGTGTAAATGTGTCTTAAGTGAAGAGTGGCGCACGAAGGACTCAATCAAAACGATAGCAAAAGAATATAACAAGCAAATTGAATAATTGGCTCTGAATTTTCGGTTCAGTTTAAAGAGAAAAAAAAAAGAAAACGTAAAATTGCTACTATTCATATGGTACGTTTTGAATAGAATTGTTGTGTGTTTATTTATTTTCTATTCTAGAAATTTTTGATTCATTTCTCTTTTTTAATTTATATTTCTTGTTTACACATATTTTTCAAATACTTTCTATGTTTTGTCTATCGTTTTATTTGACCTTTTTCATTTGACACATTTGTTTTGATCGTTGTACATGTACATCTGTATATTTGGCACAAAAATCACTCAATTTCACAGTGAGCGTACACAATTGATTCGATTTTTGCGAGAAAAGTTGAATTTTTAAGACAATCCATAATTTAAAAAAAATATGCCAACCACATCGAAAAATCGCGTAAGAAAATGCATACGCAACCGAAGGAATAAACTTAATCGGGCGAGAGGTATAGTTTGAGTATATTTTACATTTTTTCAATTTGGTTTTTGTTCTCTTACTCGTTTACATAGTTAACAATTATTTTTAGTAGGGGTTTTTGTTGTTTTGACATAATCCATTTACTATATTGGAAATGTATGTATGTTTGATACTCGAGAAAGCCGAGTGACATAGATCCTTATTAAAACGAATGTTTGAATCTTTAATTTTTAATTATAGGCGGGTGACAGTTTTATTAACTTGTATAACAAATTGACTAACATCACTTAAATTCATAGATAAACAAACAAAACAAACAAAACAAACAAAAAATTATCGATGACAATGTCTGCGCGGCTAACGAATACAAAACAATTTACTGCTCTATTTCAATATATCTTAACTTCGAATCTGTTCTATTTTCTCCATTTTCAATTAAGAATCGTGATTATGACACTTTGCATCGATGCTTTAGTTTTTCTTTTCTTTTCTTTTGTTTGTTTTTTTTTTTGTTGCCATTAAATTTTGATAAAGAGTCTCATCAATTTTAATTAAAATTGCCAATTCATCGATGTGGTTGCAAGCACTCTCTACATCATTTATTGTTGTGGAGGTTGCTTGATACATCGACAATGGCACATTTTCGCTCTTTCTCACCATAAATATCGCATAGACTGGTGCGCAAACGACAGAGAACGAAAGAGATTGTAAATTGTTCGAGAAATATAAATATAGTAAATAGAAGTCACCAATGAATATAAACCATAATAAGTTCGCTTCAAATTAAAAGCGCTTCGAATTTGTACTTTTGTTCATTGAATCTTAAATTGTGAAATAAATAAGCGAGCAATCGAAATTAATAAATTGGACTGTGATGGGGATATATGCGTCACTTGTTTAAAAACCGTTTCATTCTCGTTCCGAATAGTGTACGATAAACAGTCATCTTCCAGCTTTTCTCGGTTAACTATCGATTTTAATTTGAGACTTTATAGCTGCAATTTTTTCTCCTTCATTTCTGTTCGTTGCTATTTGGTTTTGTTTTGTTGTTTTGTTGTTATTGTTTCAGTCATTTTGGCGTTCTCTCATTGGCAGCTATGTTATTCATTAATGGTATATTCGAATTAACACTATATGATCTTGTTGAACTTGTTTAATTTGCTTGTGCTTTAAATTTTGGCTTTCATTTTGCGAAGCTGTCAGTTTGTGTTTTACTTTTGACGCACATTCACTGACCAGTCTGGCGAGAACAGAAGGTTCAGCTTCATTTTATATTATTGCTTTTCGTGAAAAGTTTTTTGTTTTGGATAAATTGATAGCTTCAGCAAGTAAATAAAAAAAAGTGAATGTATTAAACTGATTTGTGCACTAACAAAAAAAAAATTGATTCCAAAAAAGTTTTGAAAAAAATGGTTATAAATTCCTTTTATGTTTGATATTGTAGTGTTGAAAATTTTGGCAGCCGCAATGGAAAATGTTGATGGTGAAGCGTCTGGTCCATCGACATCTGCTGAACCGGAGTCATCAACGGATTTTTATAACACAGGGCGCGTTGGTCGACGTAATGCATTACCCGATATTTTGTCTAGTCATGCGACCGTTTCAACGGCCGATCTTCCCGAACAACTTAGTGCGTTAACAACAAGTGATAAAAGTGTGGCATCAACAAGTAGCTCAAATGTTGGTATGGACATACAACCCACAACCAGTACAACTCAGATATCGACCACGAGCAGCAGTTGAATACATTCATAAACATTCGTAAATTAAGATGCACACCAAATTACAACAGAAAATACATACACATATTATATAGTTAAAATATATACGATTCAATTGAAACGACAAACCCCTGAAAAAAAGATTTCAACGACAAGAAAAACCAAATGAGCCGAATCACAAAAAAGAATGGAATTTAATGCATAGAAATTATCATCATAATATATTTTTTTGTAGTTTATATAAAAGCCTATAGACGTTTCTAGTTGTATAAACAAAACTCATGAAAGTTCTATGATATAATTTGTCACATTTAATTTATGCTATTTCTGTGAAATGTAAGTGCTAAAACTTTCGGAAAAAAGTATGATTATACATCAATATTTTGTAATGCACACCCTCACTCTCACTCTCTTGACTTCTCTCTATCTCTCCTTTGTGTCTAAATGATGTTGTAATGACCCATCGAGACATAAAAATATGTGATTTGAAAAATACTATAATTTTATTTGCTTTGGGACAAAACGAAGTTCTATAATTTTATATATAATTTTTTTTTCTCAACCGAAATACAAACTCACGAAAAAAAAAATCAACAATCTATTTATATGTATATCGATATAAATTTGTTTGTCTAGTAAGATGTCAATGGGGATCAATTGAGAAGCATATTTTGGTTGATCATTATTTTTCGTTCAACTCAATAAACTTGTATCGCTCGTGTAGACTTTCTATATACAACACACATATATACACATATATACACTATCGACGGTAGTGTGATAAGCAGAAATTGTAGTGTGAGCTCAATATTAAATAAACAAATTAGAAAAGTTTAATCGAAAAAACGACAAGAGATGAAAATAAACAAAACTGTACCATGACAAAACCAATTCTTATGTCATTTTTAGCCAAAAGTGATGAAATATTTTTGAGATTCAAGGAGGAACCGATCACTGTACTATTATGACAGGGAAACAAAAGGAAATGCGAAAGACAAAACTATCTTGTAACAATAAAAGTATGACCAAAACATCATTTGGCTTGTTGATGTTATTATTAGTTAATTGTATCTATTTATATGAATAAATAAATAAATAAAACAAAAATCAGTTTGGCACTAAATAACATCACAAATAAATAAATCTGAAAAATAAAGTCGCACATCGATTTCTTTTTCCATAATACATTTCAATTAGCAAGAAAAAAATTAAAATGAATGATAACAACCAGACAAACCTCATGTCAATTAAATCCATTTGAATTGTTCACTATTTTCGTTGAACTTGAACTCCGAAATCGATCGCATCAATGGAATTTCATAGATGATTTCAATTAAACCTCTATCGTCTTTTTTTTGCTTTAAAGCATTTTCCTTTTTATTTTAAGAAAATTCGATGAGCTCTATATTTAGCACAATTGGTGTACTTTATGTATCAACTAATCAATTGATTTTGCAAATATTATATTCGACGTACATTTCATTCAAATTCAAAGTGTAATAGTTTTTTTTGTAAAACTGGAACTGAAAATCTATCGTGAATAAAGAACTTTAACAAGATAATTTACGGAACCAATGACTCAAAGTCACTGGAATTTATTACTTGACCCTCATTCAATTGATTGATTGCTTGAATTTAATTCTATTTTTAAGAAAATTACAAAGACTGATTTGTATAAAATCATCTCATTCATACTCCGAAACTAATTGCGCGTCAGGTTCAGTATATTCAAGTGACTTGAATGAAATTTTCTTCAATTTTTCAGGATTATTTAATATTATAGTTGTTTAAGGTAATTTTTTCTCTTATATTTATCCTCTTTAAATGACGATACTTTGGTAATGTGATGGAAATTCAATTTTTAAAACCGCAACTCATGTACATTTAAAATATCACATATGCCAAATAACCGTAAAAAGCGAAACTGCGGCGCTGCCGTCGGTGTCGGTTACGAAAACTACATTTGACATTTGGCTTGCCATGAAGTAGACGCCGTTAATTAGGTGAAGTGTCAAAACAATATCTTTTCGCTGTCTATACAATCTAAATATTCTGCTCAGTACACATAATTAATTAGTCTCTCTCACACAGAACACACAAAGTGTTTGGGTGATTTTAACCAGTATTTTTTGTATATTTTTGGAAGAAATAATCGTTTTGTTTTGTGCACATTTTTTTTTTGAAGAATCAAATCGTAATTATTTCGGATTTGTGGCGTTGGTACTGCAAAACAAACAATAAATAGAGTTGCAATGGCGGGAGCGGGGAAGCACTTGGAAGGTGTTAGAATAAAAAAAGACCTCGTCCAAGAGTCACAGTTTGCCGAAGCGGACAGTTCGTCCAATTCAACATCATCAAATGCAGCTGAAGCAGTAACACGCCAGAGTTCATTGCAGCGGATTCAACTGCGAAAAGACAGAGTAAGTCACCAATAACAAACAATAATATATTCAATATTGAAAAAAAATGGGGTTCAAATTATTATTATTTTTAAATAGTTGAACAAATTGCCGAGAAATCAACGAATGGCCAAATTGAGTATGTACTCTGCATGTCAAGCGGACGAATGTCGGTGCACTGGTTGGAAAACTCCCGATGAAAATCGAAAGGGTGATGTGGAAAATAATTATATACCAAAACCAACGGAAGAGTGTCGAAATCAGAGTTGTAGACATCCATTAGAACAGCATATTTCACATTTGTCGGATGTTACTGACGAACAAACTTATGAGCTGCTCGGTGCAGTGGTCGATGTGGAGAATCTGTATATGAGCATGCATAATGAAAAAGATGATGACACAAAGAAAGTGTATTATTTTTTGTTTCGGGTAAGCATTTATTGTTTATTTATTTTGCTGATTTTTTTTTAAATCGTTAAACATTTCAACCTTGCACTTCAATAGTTGCTGCGTCAATGTATTTTAACTCGTCAACAACCAATCATAACGGGTCCATTGGGTGATCCACCATTTGAAGCACCATCCATTGCAAAGGCGGTCACCAATTTTGTATTTTTCAAATATCAACATTTAAGTCAGGTGGAATTCCAAATTATGACAGACGTAGCAAAAACGTTTTTGCATTGCATGAACTATTGGAACTTTGAAACACCGAGCGCCCGATGTCAATCGCTAACCAATGAGGATGCATCGTCTTACAAGATTAACTATACACGTTGGTTAATGTTCTGTCATGTGCCGGCCTTCTGCAACTCTCTGCGTCACTTCGAGACTACACTGGTGTTTGGTCGCACTTTTCTTAAAGCAGTCTTTCAGGTTAGTTTTTTTATTTTTTCATGTTACGAACTATTCAAAATATAACCAAAATATGTATATTTCATTTTCACATGCAGTATGTATCGAGTCAATTGTTAACAAAATGCCGCGATGATAGTGATCGTATGCCAATTGAACGTCGTGCAATGCTTTCATATTTGCCGAAATTCTTGGAAGCACTCAAAAACGAAGTGGTCAATGAAGAATCGCCGATTTGGGATCCAAATTTCAAGCAACCAATTGGTTTGATGATGCAACGAAAGCGTGATCGCGAACAAATGTCAGCAAATATAAAGAAACCCGATAGCAAACGACAAAAACGAGATGACAACGAAGAATTATCCGATGAAATTGTTATTGAAACGATCAAACGGCTGAACGATGCCAATTATGCAAACAAAAACGAAATCGTATTCCCAGTGAATGCACCGCGTGACGAAGCGGCAAAAGCTGAAGAGAAACGTGGAGAGATTGAGTTTCATATCGTTGGCAATTCGTTAACCAAACCAGTCAATAAACAGACAATGCTTTGGCTACTCGGTTTGCAGAGTGTTTTCTCACATCAATTGCCTGACATGCCGCGTGAATACATTACCCAATTGGTTTTTGATTCGTAAGTTTTGAATGGCACAAGAGCAAATGAAAAAATGTAAATAATGAATTTATTTTTATTTATTGTAGAAAGCACAAGACATTAGCACTTATCAAGAAAAATCGCCCAATCGGTGGCATCTGCTTCCGAACGTTTGCATCACAAGTAAGTTAACATTCACGATAGATCTTTTGAAATCATTCATATGTTTCGTTTTTTGCGTGCAGGGTTTCACCGAAATCGTATTCTGTGCAGTCACTGGAAATGAACAGGTTAAAGGATACGGTACACATTTGATGAATCATTTGAAAGATTACAGTACTGGACAGGGTATAAAACATTTTCTTACTTATGCCGATGAATTTGCCATCGGTTATTTCAAGAAACAAGGCTTTTCAAAAGACATTAAAGTCGCTCGTCCGGTTTATGCCGGTTATATCAAAGGTAATTCAAAATGAACATAGTGTTTTTATGTGTCAATTCAAACAAATTGCATTTTTGTACTTAAAGAGTATGAAGGAGCAACGTTGATGCACTGCGAACTTCATCCGTCGATTGTGTATACACAATTCAGTTCGGTGCTGCGTAAACAAAAGGAAATTATAAAAGAATTGATATCACAACGTCAACATGACATTCAAAAGGTTCACACTGGTTTGACCTGCTTCAAAGAAGGTAACAACATTGCTCGATACAACGAATCACATTAGAAGCAAGAAATTGTTTTTAATCAATATTTTCTGACATTAATTGTATCGATTTTTTTAGGTATTCGAAGTATACCAATTGAATCGATACCCGGATTGCGAGAGGTGGGTTGGAAAGCTCAAGCTCGTGCACCACGAGCAGGTCGTCCACTTGATGAATCCATCGATCCGGATAAATTGGCCAGCACATTGAGTATGGTATTGGTGGCAATTCGTCAACATTCGGCGGCCTGGCCATTCTTAAAACCAGTTGATAAAACAGAGGTTCCAGATTATTACGACCACATCAAGTACCCAATGGATTTGAAATCGATGCAAGATCGATTGAAAAAAGGGTAATGAATCTTGAATTTTTTCAAAAGGAAAAAAAACTAACAAAATCTCAATGTTTATTCCACACAGATACTATGTAAATCGTCGTTTGTTCATGGCTGATATGGCCAGAATATTTTCAAATTGTCGACTCTATAACTCAAGTGGAACTGAATATGTCAAGTGTGCAAATAATTTGGAGCGTTACTTCCAGACAAAGATGAAGGAGATCGGTCTCTGGGATAAATAATTTTTTTAAAAAATAAATATTTTCCGATTTTAATTAAAAATGAATAAATAAAACAATGTTCATTTCAATAGTTTAATTTAGAATATTATGTTCGTGTATTTTATTTAAATATCTTCGTTTAATGGTTTCTTTTTGTTCATACGTTCTTCCATGCGGACAATGCGATCGTTCATTGAACGCAAGGAGTCCTTTAATGAATTGTGAATTTCATCGTAACGTTGCATGGCCAGTGTAAGGCTCTCTTCCAGGAGGTCGTTCTTTTGACCCAAATCGGATGTGGTTTCATTCATTGCTTTGAGTTTATCGGTGACATCTGGCATCGAACGGAAGTATTCGGCACCCAATGTGGGTTCCAGTTGCTTAATTTGTTCCAATTGACGAAATGTTTCTTGCAATTCTGGCGCCATCATTTGCAAATAAACCTCTTTTGCGCGAATGTCTTGTTGTTCTTCGACGAAATTCGGATCCAAATATTTTTCCAATTCGGCTGAACGTTCGGTAAATTTATTGATTGCATCACGACCGCTCGTTGCACTCGATAGCAATTGCGATGCCGACAATAGTGACTCGGTCAATGTTTCTGTCTGGACATTGCTGGGCTCATTTTCCGATGGCAATGTTCCCAAAATTCGATTCAAATTATCGATTCGCTTTTCAATTAAATCCAATGCATCCATTTTTATCTAATCGAGAAAGAAAAAAAATTACCATTACAAATCAGATGACTCATATAAGACATATAAACGTCAACAATAATAAAACATAAATCAAAACATATAAAAACCAATAAAATTCATATGCGATTTCACCTACCTCGTTAGTTTTTATCTTTTGCAAGAAGTGAGAATGAGAGAAATAATTACAAAAATGTACAAATCAACTTTCTGCGAATTGCAAGTACAAAAAAAACACTTCTTACGCCTTGGAGTGAATGAATAGAAAACATGAAATTATCCAAATTTGACAGAAACAACATTCAAGCTGCTTAGTTACGTACACCGTCACCTGGCAGCGCTGTCTGACATTACATATAACAAAAATATAAACAAATGATAATGACAAAGTTTTCTTGTTAGACAGACACAAACAACACTCATTATACGACAATTTGCAAATGTGATGTGGTGTGTACAAAAATGAAAGAAAGTTGTTGTGTATAAACAAAAAAAAAGGTGCATCGAATGTGACTAATTAGAAAAGTGAAGTGTGGGAACAGCTGAGCGTAATTTTCGTGTACATTTGCATTGTCAAGAGCAGTCACACAAAGAATTTTAGGCAGTCGGGACAACGACTACAACAAAGAAACAAAAGCCCAGCAAATTGATTAAGCGACTGCCGTATTTTGAGTTGTTGTTGGTTTTTTTTTTATTCGAAATTCAAATTATTGTGTGTATTTGTGCATTGATATTGTGAATTTTTTATGTATAATTTTGTTCGCTAATTGTGTTCGCATCATTGATTTGTTGCTTGCGAAAGAAAGGAATTCCAACACATTGTGTGTATGTGGAGTAAGCAAAAAACATAATGTGCAACGTAAAGCCGTAAAGTACATTTTGAAGCACAAAGAATTACAGACATCGACGTTAAGCAACAAAAAGAAAACAGACGAAGCGATGGTTGGTGCTGTGAAACGCAATTCAGTCGCGATCGATGCATAAATCGCGTTAGTTTATTAAAAGAGTTTGGTTGTGCATTGTGGCACAATAGAGAACAAATTGTTTATTTTCTTCAGAATTGTCGTCAGTTGAAAGTGTACGAAAAAAAAAATTTGTCCAATTCAATTTTACTGCTACTAATTTTAGTATCGAGAAAAGAAAAAGTTTGAAAAAATAGTGAAAAAAAAAGAGAAAATGTCCAACAAAAGTAGTCCCAGTCATGAATCAAATATGGTTCCATCGAGTTCACGGTCAACGCTGTTGACCGAAGAAACGATCTCACGGGATTTCAGTTTGGCCAGTTTAGCATCGGCTGGCACAATTAGCCAACAGGATGAATACTTTCATTGTGACAATCATGCAGCGACCGTTTTACACAACATGCAAACCTATTTGGACAATGAACAGCTCTGTGATGTTATATTGATATCGGGCATCGACAAAAAAAGGTATAAGCCACATTAAGTCGTCTTTCTGCTTTTTTTTTATCTAGTTGCATCGCATACATGACGAACAACGGTTCCATTCATCTTTTCAAAATGCGCGTGAATAAAAACCGCACATTGCCTTTACTTTAGATGTATGTGACGCATCAGAAAGCAAATTAACATTTTACTCGTCTATTTTTAGCGAATTTCCATTTTCAATACTCGCATTGCAATCATATCACATATGTGTTTGTATTTCCATTATTATTGCACGCGTTGTCTTCGTTCTTTGTGTTCTGGTTTGCTTTTTTTTTTTTTGTTTCTTTTCTCGACAAGAATGGCTTTGATTTCTACAAACAGATTAAATATGCGGCGCAAAATTTCCTGCTGTGTCTATATATTTTTTGCATTGTTTTGCAATCATGAATAGATCTTTTTGAAATAAAATATATTTTTTTGTTGTTGTTCCTGTTTTGCATCGTGAAAACAAAAATGGAATTTACCCATGCCCAGCCAGGCTTGATTTGTCTTTTTTTTCTTTGTATATTCAATGTTTTCTTTTACTTTTATTTAACACACAGAGTTCCAGCTCATCGAATCGTACTTTCGGCGTCAAGTGCATATTTTGCGGCAATGTTCATGGGCTCGCTACGGGAATCTAAAGAAGAGGAAATTACATTGGGCGATGTGCACAGTGAACCATTGCAAGTGATTGTAAGATATTGCTACACGGGTACAATTGAATTACGCGAAGATAATGTTGAAAATTTATTGGCTACCGCATGTTTATTGCAACTATCTTCAGTTGTCAATGCCTGTTCGAATTTCTTATCAAAACAATTGCATCCATCAAATTGTTTGGGATTCGCTTTATTTGCCGAACAACAATCATGCCATGAATTATTTAAACTTTCAACATCGTACACATCCACACATTTTATGCAAGTTTGTAAGAATCAAGAATTTTATCAATTGAACGTTGAACAATTGGCAACGTTGTTAAAAAGTGATGATCTCAATGTGTCCACCGAACAAGATGTGTTCCATGCTCTGATCGCTTGGATACAATACGATTTTGAAGCTCGTGAAAAATATATTCCAGAACTTTTGGGATTGATTCGACTTCCATTGCTTTCACCTGCGGTAAGTTTACAGTCCATTCTCAATTTGAAAACCAAACATACGATACATTCTTGAAAATGTGCCAATTTTGTTTTGAACTTCAGTTTATTGCTGACTATGTGGAATCGTTGTGCGCTTCAAGTGAGTGTCAACAGCTTGTGATGGAAGCACTTAAATGGCATTTGATGCCTGAACGACGTGCTCAAATTTCATCCGATCGAACAAGACCGAGAAAATCGACGATGGGTCGCTTATTGGCAATCGGCGGTGTAGATGCACATCGCGGTTCCATCAGTATTGAATCGTTTTGTCCCCGATTGAACAGATGGACAATGTTAAAACACTTGACGACAGGACGACGACTACAATTTGGGGTTGCATTAATGGATGACAAATTGATCATTTGTGGAGGCAGAGATGGGCTGAAAACTTTGAATTCAGTAAGCTTATAAACCGGATATTTATTCAAATTTATTTATAGAACAATGTATAAAATACAAAACGTTTTGCAGGTTGATTGTTTGGATTTGAATACAATGACGTGGGGTCAATTGGGATCAATGATGACACATCGCCATGGATTAGGGGTGGTCGTCCTCGAAGGTCCATTGTACTGCGTTGGTGGTCACGATGGATGGTCCTACTTAAATACAGTTGAAAGGTACAATTTTGCAAAACACTTTTGGATTTAAGCACATTTTTTAATTTCCTTGGAATTTTAATTCAGATGGGATCCGAATGCTCGAACTTGGTCGAACGTTGCCGCGATGTCATTTATGCGTTCAACAGCCGGAGTTGCTGTTCTAAATAGTCGCTTGTATGCGTTGGGTGGAAGGGATGGCTCATCATGCCACCGGTATGATTTTTGTGTTACAAGGAAAACAATGACAGTGTCATAATTAAAAACATTTTTTTTTGTTTCACACCAGTTCGGTCGAAAGTTATGATCCTCATACAAACAAATGGACACTAAAAGCTCCAATGAATCGTCGACGAAGTGGCGTTGCGGTTGGCGTATTGAATGGTTTCTTGTACGCATTAGGTGGCCTCGATTCCCCTGCTAGCAATCCATCGGTGTGCCGAACTGAAACAGTCGAACGATATGACCCACAAACTGATTCATGGACTATGGTAAGTCCTATATTGAACCTATTGAGCACCATACTTAAATAAAATCATTTAAAATTGATTTTGTCTCCCTCTTCATAGATTGCATCATTGAGCATTGGACGAGATTCGATTGGCGTTGCTCTCTTGGGTGACACTCTCTTTGCAGGTGAGTATTATTTTCTCTGAACATTAATGTGCCATAAAAATATACTTAAAAATCTTGTTTTAGTTGGGGGATACGATGGCCAACAATACCTGAAAACGGTTGAAAAATATGATGCCGAAAAGAATGAATGGTCAGAAGCGGCTCCATTAAATTTGTCTCGTGCAGCAGCTGCTGTTATAGCTGTGCCAAATCTACTAACTACGACCACCGTATCAACGGTTTGAAACAAAACAAATCTATCATTCATTAATGCATGTTGAAGATCATCAACACTCGAAAATCGCATTAGATTTGATAACTTAACAAATAATTCCATTATTATTATCATTTTCCAAATTGACAAATGCATCATTTTTTCTTTTGAAACAAAGAAAATCTCTTGACTGCCGTAAACATAACATGAAACTCATTGACAAATATTTGATAAATATAAGTTTATAATTTAGAGAAACTGACAAGACAAGCGAATATTCCGCCTAATAATGAGATTTCGCATTAGATTCATTTGCGATTAAGTGCAGGGAAAATAAATTCCATTTTATGAGCATGTACTATTAACAAATGAATGTGCGTGTGTGATTTGATACAAGAAAAAAGAAAACGAAATTCCAATTTTTTTTGTTGGTTGTTCCAATAGTTTTTATAGTAAACGATATGGTTTAATTAATTTTAGAGAAAAGTTTGGCGGCCAGTACGTGTCAACTTCAGCTATAGAAATAGTGACTACATCAATTATTGTATTTGAAATTCGTTTGAAATGCACAATAAGACGGTAACGAGTACTTGCTCGAAGACAAATCGCGCTGTGATTTCGACATAATCGAGTTTAGCATTAAAATTTGTTTTCCAAGTTGCTCAAACATTTCGATGAAATCGTTAAATTGAAACAGACATCACAATGTAGTTAGTTATACAGTATTTTTCTATACAATCAAATTTTTGTAAGTGTGTTTATTGAACGAAATTTAATAAAGATTTAAATCGAAAAACATTCTTGTATATATTTTATTTATTTCATAAAACGGTGAAATTCAATGCCGGGGTCCGTAATGAAATATATAGAGATGTGGCGATTGAACGATGCTAACCAATACTTTTTGCTTTGCAAATAGTAAAAGCACAGGAGTAGCATTCGTCAACAACTCGTTCGAAAATATATAGCTTGTGCACTACACAAGGAATTCAATAATTTGGACGATTATTTAAAAAAATTCGCGCAGCGACGATGCTCAATATTACTTTCGGTAGAAATAAGCTGCGAGATACAATGTATGATTACATAAAAAAACGATATATATGCAAAATCAGCAGTGCCATATAAATTATAATCTATTAAATAAACATCATGTAATCGGTTTGAAGTGTTGGCTTAATCCTATCCACTTGAAAGTGTCAATTGTTTATGAACATCAATTCCTTGAATACAGTTTTAATATAATTTACTGGCCATATTAAATTTGATGCATCGTACAGTATTTTTTTGTAAACTATTCACGAAGAAAAGCTTTCCAATAAAAGAAATTAGATCATCATTTTCACTGCTATAAAGGCAGACGTATGTATCAAAATGTATCATTGTGCATGTAGCTCTTGCCTATATCACATTTAAATTAGAAGTTCCAATCGATTGATAAAGTTCGTCCTGTAGATTAATTAAATGATGATAACTCTTAATATATTAAATAAATCATCTCAATAGAATGAGCGGAAAAAGAAGAAGATAAAGAATATAAAAAGGAATTTTAGCAGTTCAAAAATATCCAGACCCTTGGTATTACCGTTTCATTTTCATACAGCTTTTGTAAATGTTTATTTTTGAAATAATACTTTTTTTTATTTATTCATCTAAAATAGCCGGTTTATTTGTCCAAACAGAGTCTGAAAGTGCCGCCAAAATGCAAGTCAAGTATTTATTTTTGTAGTCAAAACAAAAAAATGTTTATTCAACAGTTTTACTTGTACTGCCACGTTTTGTTACGTCATTGTTATGAGTCATAAAATCTCTTGATTTTTCAAGCATAGTTAATAAAAAAATTGAATTCAATATAAGATTAGCCGATCACAGTTTTATTGAAATCCTGTGAAAGAGTTACTGAAAATCCATGAATCAGTTTCTCATTGACGGGATTGAACTTTAAAAAATGCCATATTTTCAATTATTTTATTTCTTGAGCTCAATCATTTCCCAAACAAGGAATATAAACAATTTCTCTTTGAATTCTTGTTTTCACAATTCAATAGCACTATATACATTTATTTATTTAACTTTCGTTCTTTTATAGTCAGACAATATATTTGGATTTTGTCATCTGGATATTTCAGCTCATCTGGATTACGTTAGGCGATGATATAGAGTGAAAACAATAGAAGTGATTGTTGTATTGTATAGGTATAAAATTTCTACCATAACTATAACAATCACTTCTATTGTTTTCATTTCGTATCCAGATGAGCTGAAATATCCAGATGACAAAATCCAAATATATTGTCTGTTTATAGTACAATGTTTCATATAAATGAAATGACCGACCATGCTGTAATATGTAGAACGCAACAATAACTTTTATTCACTCGTATACACTACAACAACGTGATCTCTTAGTTTAAAATAATTTTGTTTACAGTTGTATGAATTCCAACATAAAATATTATGATATAATGCCAATTTCTAAAGGCAATCTTAGTATGCTAAACAATATTTGTTCTCAGTTGATCGACAACAGTTGCAGTATTCAGATCGAATCTGTACTTTGTGTAAATATCAAGTGAGCTGAAATCCTTCAATTTATTGAAGTGAATTCAGTGGATGTAAAAAAATATTTAAAATATTTAAATTATAAAAAAGTGACCCGGTGATCTTAATTTCGCAAAAAAAATGGCTTTTAGCATGAAATCAAAATATGCTTCGCGGGTTTTATCTTCCAGTGATGAAACTGATTCCGAAGATTCAGAAGAAGAAAGTGTAGTTGACCTTTCTCAAGCCGAGTAATAGTAAAGTTTATAATTAGTGTTCGAACAAGAATCACAGATAAATTTTAAATTTCAGAAAATTGAGAATGAGCACTCTTCTACCATATGAAATTCCGGACAATATTTTTAGAATTGTACTGAAGAAAGAACTTCCAGCAGTGGTTACATCAGAAATAAGATTGAGTCATGTTAATTATAAGAAGGCGTACGCTACAATGATATATCTAGAAGAAGCCACACAATCCAAATTCATGGCTCAGTTCAACCAGAAATCTATAAAACTTGAACAAATCGGATTCAAAAAAATTTTTCGTATAAAAATAGAAGTAAGTTTTTTGTTTAAATTAGTGAAAAATGTGTATATTATTAATATTTACCAAATACTCGAGCATCCTTTCAAGCAAGGTGCAAAACTTGCAAAAATTGCTACTAGTCAAAAATCAACGATGTAATGATTAATTAAATGACTTCATGAATCTTATTTTTTATGATACATAAATCTTATAAGACAAAGAATCCTTTGATTTGTCAGCATATTTACAAGTATCAACAACATGAATTGTTTGAATACATTTCCACATCTATAAAATGCTTTTTTTAAATTGCTAATGCTTCATGCTTAGGAAAATACCTAACTTGAGATTTTTGCACTCATTGCGATCTTACTATCGATAGTATCACAACAAATCAATAGCGTGGTTCTATTTAATATTCTATGTTATTGATTAAAACGTGATGAACGTGATTTTGAAAGATTTTGCACTAGTATTTTTTTTTCCTTTTCCTGGAATATGTAAATTCTATCTAATTTCTAACAAAAGCTATTTTTCAATCAGTTCATTTTTAAATAACAAAATTTCAAACTACTTAAAATAGTCTTCAATTCACTTTTGAACCAATTTTCTGAATTAAAAACTTTTTCTTCTCTAAATGATTTCTATTTCAGAAGAGAATAACGAAAATGGTTGAAGCCGTCGACGAAAATATATTAGATCATTTCACGCTAAAGCCTATTAAAACTTCGAGAATCTTTAATAAAAATATTTCGATTCCTGGTTCGATTAAAGGCTGCAACAAAAAATATATATTCGTAAAAATTGATGAAGATGGTTTTGATTATCTTCGGCGCCACTGTAAGTGGACATTTTTTGATATTTCTTTTCACATGAATCGCACAATATTTCAACTCCAGCACAATGCATTGGAGTGGATTGAAGATCATCAGCTATTTAGTCTCTTGATCAAAAATCCGACATATGATGTGAAACAAAGAGTCACAAGTCACCATTACCTAGAGACATATAAATTCAGGTAAAATTAAATGTCACATTTTTGTCAAATAAAATATCAAATGGACTAAAAATTCGAAATTACTTTAGCGGCCTTTTAGCCTCGAATTTAAACGATGAGCAGAAGATTGCCGCCATAAATATCGTGAAAGCACAAAATGCTCCAATGCCCTACCTTTTGTTCGGGCCAGCTGGTAAATGTTACTCTGCATATTTTGATATGTGTATCTAATCTACTTTTTCTATGTGATCCTTTTTAAGGAACTGGAAAAACGCGCACAATAGTCGCGGCTGTTGAAGAGATAGTGCGTTCGTCGGAAAAATGTGTTTTGGTTTGTACAAATTCAAATGCGGCCTGCGACGAAATCACTGAACGTCTTCTCAAAGTTTTACATTCTGGCGAAATGTTTCGCATGTACGCAAAATCACACGATGTCCGAAAGATAAGTGACAACATCAAACCAATTTGTAATTATTTCAAAAGAAAATTTCTATTTCCATCGTTGAAATTTTTGTATCAATTTCGTGTAATAATCTGTACGCTAACTACGTCGGGATGCATGGTCAGAGCTCGAGATGAGTCAACATTTAATTGCCACCATTTTTCGCACGTTATTATTGATGAGGCGGCAAGTACGCATGAAACAGTAACCTGGATTCCGGTTGCAGGTAAATTGAAATTATACCCATGGCATGGAGTTTATTGCAATTAAATTACCGTATTTATTTAGGTTTGTGTACTTCCCGTGGACAAATCCATTCATCAATTGTTCTCGCTGGAGATCCAAAACAATTAGATGCGGTCACCAAGTCGAATTTGGCTGCTCAACTTGGATTTAAAACATCTTTTATGGAACAATTGTTTGAATGTCGTCTTTATAAGCGCAACTCAACAACTGGCGAATATAATCAAAAATACATTACACAATTGGTGAAAAATTATCGCTCTCATTCATCAATTTTACATGTTCCCAACGAATTGTTTTATGAAAGCAAATTGCAAGCGAGAGCATCATCAGGTCCTTAGATTAAATGTGAAAAATAAATTGAATATTATTTTAAATATTGAACGTTTTCAGATATAACCGATTGGTTTATTGGCTCCGATTTACTGCCATCGAAAAACTTTCCAGTGATTTTCAAATCGGTGCAAGGATTTTGCAAAAGATCAAAGGAAGACTTCAGGTAGTATTTACACATACTAAAAAAATCACATTAAATTAACTCATATTATATGTCAAATAGCATATTTAATATGAAAGAAGTTGATGGTGTAATGGGTTATATTAAGAAGCTCTTAAGGAAGAAAGGGCATAACGGCAAAAAGGTATCCCAATCCGATATTGGTGTTGTGACTCCTTATAAATTACAAACAAAGATCTTATCGAGAGTTTGTCGACGTGAGAATTTTAACGAATTAATAATTCAATTTTGATTGATTTCAGCGACTAAATGTAGTCATCACGAGAGCAAAATGTTTACTCATCATCATTGGTGATCCACACACCTTGAGTTCGGATAAAAATTGGCGAAGACTAATTGAATACTGCATCGAAAATGATGCACTTATTCAAGGTGACAAACCGTTTCGTTTGGATCAAAATTCAAGTTCCAGTCTTATGAGCCGTTTATCGAATTTACAAATTAACTGAAACCATTGGATTACTCTAAATGAATGCCGAAAAACAGTTCAAAGAAACTAAATATAACAATATATATCTCTACTAATAAGAATCATTTGTTCGTTTTTTCCTTACATCTTAAATATTTTTTATTTGTAATTTACGATACGTATACTTTTTGAAGGAAGAGATTTATTATGAGCATTGAAATTGTTCAATGGAAAACTGAAAATAATCCTCGAATAAATACGCTTGAACTTCATCTTTAATTTAATTTGAATTTGTCGTAAAGAAATTGACATATTTTATGTAAAACTCATGAAAATATTTTTAGTATTCAACATTTAAAGATTTGTAATCAAATCATTTTAGCCTTAATTCTAATCATTAGAATCTTTCAAATTTCTCGTTAGATAAATCAGTTTATTTCAAACAGAAGGACATCAAAATCGTTTTTTTAACTGACCAATTATCTATACTAATATCTCTTTGAATTTCTACTTGCAAAATGTTCAAAGCAATATATAAGCATTCACATATAATCGCGTGCTGCAAGTATACCATATAGCATATACATCTACGGACCGCAGACCGAACAACAACGTATTTATATCAGCCGATGCTGCTATATTGTTTCTGCCTGTCTAATAACAATGTTCTTCATAAATGTGTGTTAATACGCTGTAATATGTGCGATTTGTATAAGTCTGTGTAGTGTGTAGCCAACTGTCATTGACCGTTCGAAGTGTCAACTGTTGTGAAATATTAAGTAACTAAATCGTTCTCATAAGTAATGTTAAATTCTTGTCCATTTTGCCTCGATTAAATGAAACATTTAAAAAGATTTGTTTGAATGCATCATTGTTAAAATGTCTCGTAATTGTTTTAAAACTGGTTCATTAGTTGATGCTTTGCTGTCGTTGAATAATGACGCCAGTAACCCCAACAATAATAATCAAACCATTCACAACGAATTGGCTAAAGCAGAGTAAGACATAAAAAAAGATCTTTCAACATGAATAACAATAATGTTTGTCTTTCAGAAAGTTAAAACAAATAAATCTCCCCTCATATAAAGTTCCACTTGAAATTTTGAATATATCTCAAACTACAGAACGAATGAAAGTAACTACTATGATGCATATAAAACGATGATTTATTTCGAAGAAGCGGCACACGAAATCGTTTTAAGCCAATTCAATCAAATAAACATTCAATTGAGATTCTTCCCAAACAATGCACAATTTTACATAAAATGTGATGTATGCTTCGATTGAATTCTATTGAAAATGAACTTGCATTTTCGACTGATGATTTGAAATTATAGGAACATTGTGCCGGTATTTCTGAAGCAATTGATGACGGAATATTGGAGCAATTCATTTTAAAGCCTGCCAATTCAAAGGGTGGACGTATAATAACTGGATCAATACAAGGAAAGAACGATGATAAGATTTTTATTGAAATTACCGATGATTGCCGCAAATATGCAGTGAACAATTACAAACATGAATCGTATGATATTTACTTTATCGTCAACCGGCAACCATTTCAGCTACAGCATTATGCACTAAAAATGATGAGAGAACAAAAATTGTTCGATTGTTTGATTTCAAATCCAAAATATGATGATGATAGCGAGAGACCGGCACTAAATGATTCATACAACTTTTGGTAATTTCTAATTTGGGACTCGAATCGAATATTTGAAGCGAATTAATTTGTTGATTTTTCAGCAGTCAAACGGCATTAAAAATGAATGAAGAACAGAAAATTGCGGTGGCTAATATTGTAAAAGCACCAAATGCTCCTTTGCCGTACCTTTTATTTGGTCCTCCCGGCAAGTTTCTGTTTGCAAATATTACCTTGAATAAGTTTCTAATATTTCTTATTTTCCTTAAAGGCACTGGAAAAACGAGCACGCTTGTCAGTGCTGTTGAAGAAATTATACGATCTTCTAGTCGAAATGTTTTAGTCTGTGCAAATTCCAATTCTGCTTGTGATGAGATTGTGCTGCGTCTTCTAAATGTATTGCATACTGGTGAAATGTTTCGAATGTACGCAAAGTCCTATAAATCGAGACAAATTTGCGATCAAATCAAACCGATTTGCAATTTGTTCAATGGCGAATATCATTTTCCATCTTTAACCTTTCTATATCAATTCCGAGCAATCGTATGTACCCTTGCAACTGCTGGCCACTTCAGTCGAGCATGTGAAGATTCCCATTTTGATGCTGCACACTTTTCGCATGTAATCATTGATGAGTGCACGAGCATCACTGAAAGTGTAACTTTGATACCGATCGAAGGTAAGATTAACAATGTAATTTGATCAGCAATTAATTTCCTTTTTATTTGCAAAATTAGGACTATGCACATCGTACAATCGAATCGAATCGAGTATTGTCCTCGCTGGGGACCCGAAGCAGCTTGACGCTGTAGTCATATCGAATAATGCCATCAATTTGGGTTTTAAAACATCTTTTATGGAACACTTATTCCAACGTCGATTATACAAACGAGATCCTATCTCCGGCGAATATAATCAAAAATAAAATGTCTTACATCCGTAAGATGAACTTTTCCGCACTGTGATCCACGACATGCATTTATTACAAATCTTTTACTCAAATAATTCACGAGAAAACTAAATCTGACATTAGTTTTAGATAAAAATAATTTTCGAAGCACTTTTCTTACAAAAACTACTAAAGATGGGAATTTTTGTATCGGAGCCATGCCTATATGATATCGTAATTATGTGAAAATTTGCAGAGGTTTTTTTTTTTTCACAAAAAGTTAACATTCTGAAGTTTGAAGAAATTTCAATGCATATTAAGCGAAAAATCCAAAATTTTGTTTGGGAGGTGCCCCAAATATTCGTTGAAATGTCTTCAAACTCTCGGAATGGTATTTATGTGTGATAAAAATAACCTGTGCAAAGTTTCAGCTCATTACGATATCATACAGGCATGGCTTCCATACAAAAATCCAAATTTTTTGAATTTTTTGTATGAAAAGTGTGTCGAAAATGAATTGTATCGCAAAACTAACGTCATATTCGGTTTTCCCGTACCCAAAAACCCCCCAATACACATTTTTGAGTGTTTAAGAATACATTAAATATCACTTTTGGAAGAAAAATTGAATTTTTCCCATGGATGGACATGGGCATCACACCAGACATGACACTTTACCCTGTCAACCGAAGTCGCTCAAAATCTAATGGTTTCTATTCCTCGGCACCCCCAATCATCCTGTGAAGTCAGATTTTGAATTACTTTTCTTGTTTGAAAGTTATCGTGTTAACAAATTTTTGCGTACAGGGTACAGCGTACAGGGTACAGGGTACAGGGTACAGGGTACAGGGTACGCACATACATTCGGACATCGAAAAAACGCTAGATTCGTGTTCCCTGGCCCCAAAAACACCCAGAAAACACATTTTTTATGGGTGTTAATTTTTCGACCGATTCCAATACTTTACCTTACACACTAGGTGTGTGCGGAAAAGTAATACGTAACTCAATTGGTGAAAAACTATCGTTCACACTCTGCCATATTACATATCCCAAATGTATTGTTCTACGAAAATAAATTGGAAGCAATGGCGCCGAAAGGTTTGTTAGAATTCATTCTCATGAAATGCAGACTTCAATTCAAATTCGTTTTTTTTTATATAGATATAGCCGATTGGTACATTGGTTCGGATTTACTACCATCGCGTGAATTTCCAATCATTTTTCGGTCCGTTCAAGGCGTTTGTACGAAATTGGACCAAGACTTTAGGTGAATTTTTCTCGACAAATTCAATGTATGGAAGCGGGCACTAATTCATGTCGCATTTGATATTTCAGTATGTACAAAATGAATGTTGTAATTGATTTTATAAAGAACCTTTTGAACAACGTCATCAAAAATGGCAGAACTGTGATGCAAACAGATATCGGTGTTGTATCTCCGTACAAATTGCAATGCAAAGAAATTATGCGTGCCTGTCATCATAACAATTTGCGTCACATCACCATTGGTTCAGCAGAAATTTTTCAAGGTCAAGAAAAGCCTGTGATTATTATATCAACTGTGTGAACCGATGGGAAATTGGGATTTGTAAAAGATCCACGAGTAAGAATCATACATTGTAATTTAACAAAAAAAAAATAAATATTGAAAATTATTTCATTTCAGCGTTTCAATGTGATGATTACGAGAGCGAAATGTTTGATTATTTCCATTGGTGATCCACATACGCTTGTCTTGGATTCAAATTGGAAAACTTTCATTGAATATTGCATAAGAAATGACGCATTTGTTTAAGGAGAAAAACCATTTCGTTTGCCATAAAATTGATGCCGTTCTTTTTTTTAAATTGATGTTGTTTCCATTGAACGGTATGTTTGAAAATAATAACTTTTTCGTAATTATGTTAAAAACTAGCGTTAATTTTGAAAAATAATGAAAAATATTCATCGTACAAATACTTTTTGATTGTACCCAATAAAAACGGATTGATTTATCAGAAGAAAAATAAATCCATTTTGATTGAATCACTTTCAAGCGACAGTTGGTTTTAAAACACGAGTATAATAGCCAAATCAATTATTCATAATCTGAAAAAATACATATGCCATTTTACCCTATTTTTGGATTGCTTTGAGCTTTGCCTTATGTATTTTTTCAGAGTGTCCACTTGTTATTAGGTGTAGCTCGTATAATTGAAGAAAATGATCCCTCATCATGTCTAATGATATAATGGCATAATTTGAATTTGAATAAAAATTGCTTCTAATCACAATTACCAATCCACACAACTTGCTATGCACGAGTTGTTTAAAAACGACGAACGCTGCACATACATGCTGCATCGACGCCCCATCCGCAGTGAATATAGTCATGAAAGCATTAAAGCTTATTAGAAGTATATTGGTAATTTGTGGATTGTGTATAGACTCTGATAATCCACATCAGGGACGACTAACAAATTGTGTGATTTTTGGATTATTGAGCGGCTTTCTGATAATAACTTTGGAATACATTTATTCTCATTTCGATGATCGTGCAAATGCACTTTATGCAATTATGCAATTCGTTACATTCGCCACTGTTTGGACATGTTACATTTGTTTTGCACATCAAAAGGCACGAACCTTTGAATTTTTGAAAAATCTTCAGGAAATCGTTGACAATCATTGTAAGTTCAAATAAATGTGTATGTTCAAATAGAAATTCACCATCTTAATTGAATAGGTAAAAGAAAGGTGCAATATGATTTTTATGAAGAAGCCGAACGAAAATCCCATGGAATCACCAAATGGCCACTGTTAATATTTTTTGGTGCATTTTATGGTGTAATCCTAATATCTGTCATCGACATAATCGTATCCGATTTAATTTTCGGCGATTTACATCCTGAAAATTGGTATACATTTTACAAAATGACGTGAGTTTCACATTATTTTAAGTTCATATTTTGAATTTTTTTTGAGCGCAACACAAAAATACTTTTAGCATTCCTTTCGATCGTGGCAGTGTGTCTGGTTTCATTGGTTACTTCATCATTCAATTTGTCTTGCTGCATTGTTATTATGCTGGCTTAATACCTTGCTTCTCGTTTTTCGTTGGCACTTGCCATTATTTGGAAGCCTGTTGCAATGATTTGAGTGAAAAATTCAATGAAACTGATAAGGAGACCGCAAGCATTCGAATCAAAACAAAATTGATTGATATCGTGACATTTCATATTAATGTAATTGAGTGAGTTTGACAACATGCGATGTTAAATGTTTGTGATAACAAATTGCGCATAATTTTTTTTGAATAGGCAATTCAAATTGCTGACCAAAATCTTTAGCGGTGTTATTTTCTATCAGTTGTCATGCGGGTCAGCATTTATTTCTACAACACTCTTTCAATTGGATTTGGTGAGAAAATCAGCAAATTTTTTCCACTAAAATCATTTGATTGATATGCATTTTTATTAGGCTTGGGGAACATTTGATGGTAATTTTTTTGTAATCAGTTGTGTTGTGGCGCTGAGCATAATGTGCATTTTGCCATACTGTTGGTTTGCTTCGGTACTATCTATACGATTATATAAAATCAGTCATGATGCTTACAACTCCCGATGGTATACGAATTCGTTGGCGTATCATCCATACACGCGATGGATCATAATCTATGGTCAAATTTCAAGAAACTTTGATGGATACCACATTTTTAAATGCGGACTGGACGTTTTCATGAAGGTAAAATCTGTTAATGCCATCAAATAAAATCAATTGGTAAAATAAGATGAAAAATAATTTTATTTGCAATTTTAGATTATTAAGGCATCTGGATCATATTATTTAATGTTGAAAAGCTTTTAATGTTTTGAGAGTTATTTGAATTTAATTCATTTTTGCTAATTATATATTTTAATCGCCTTATACACACTTACTCATTGGCGCTTGAAATTGATTAAATTTCACATGATTTGATTAAAAGAAGCCCTTATGTATTTTAGATGGAATATAAGATTTATTAATTTTGATTTGATTTAGTTTTTCAAGATGCACATTTCAAATGTACAGATTACGGTAAATCGATTAAAAGAGAAATGGGAATATTTTGTCGAATAATGAAGTGAGAAAAAATTTGGCTGCCGCTCTTTGTAGTATGATAAGTCCATGTTAAGACAGTAATAACGCCACACTCTTTAGTCGTGATCGCGACAGTTTGATGGCCAACGCTGTTTTGACTAGATGACTAAAGGTATTTAATCTGAAATAAAATTGAAAACATTAAGTTACTGTTATGAAACAAGCTTTTTACTATAGTTGTGTGATTTAAAGGAAAAAGACAAAAGTTGTAAGATTGAAATTATTTTGATAAGATAAAAAATTGTATAAGTCTATTTGTATTATTTTATTCTCTTGCTCATTCATCGTTTTACTCGTTCTTGATAGTGTTGAGCGTGTAATAATCAAATTATAGTAACAAACAGCATTTAAAAAAAATGTTTTAGTTTATTTATCAAATTAACTCTTCGAACATTTTCTTTTTTTCTTTCACAACAGTTTTTTTTAATTTATAGCTTATTTTATTACCGTAAAGTCTATTGGATCGTTGATTTGACGACAAAATGGACAATTACGCCGTCGATCTGAACAATAATGACTTCTGATTTCGCAAAAGTGTCTGTTACAGGTTATGCACAGATATTGAAACTCAATTAATAACATTCTTACAGAATTATGGATATTGGTGCCACATCACTTTCTTATAAGTATCAAAAATCAACTCAAATCATTTACTCAAGATTTCGAATTTATACATCATTCTGTGCATTTAACTGGATTGCTTACAATGTTTAACTTTCTCGTTCTGAATACAAATATTTATTTAAATATATTTAAAGCAAACACAACGTTTTGATCATTGGAAATGAGTATTTTTGCAGATCAGCGAAAATATTCGTGAAGTCATACAACTTACATTATGACACAAAATCATCTTTATGAGACAAAATACGTTTGTCACTTATAAAATAATGTATCGACCATTGTTTGTTTCGAGTAGAAATTGACATAGTTTTTCTACCAATTACTCAATCAAAATTAAACAGAATGAAAGACTAAACTTTGATGATCAATTGTTTAATTTCAATTTTTCTTTCCTGGTGTGTTTACATTGTTTCGAATTATATCAGTTAATGTAAATACAAAATAATGTTAATCGATCGTTTTTTATTGAAAATAAGTTCAATTCAAAATACAAAAAGAGATTGCGAAACGGTTTTTTGTGGCTATTAATCAACACAAACGCATCAACGATGTAATCATCTTTCGACTGTATGCTATTTTAAAATTGGATTATTTACTTATTATTCGACAAAAAAAATACAATTCATGTTGTTGTAATAATTTGTTTGATTTTAATTTTTTTTTTTTTGTAAAAGAGCTTCAATAAATGTCATAATAAAAAGATGACGATATTTGAGGGCAATCATATGTGGAAATACATTTTTTCTCTCGTCTGCATTGATTGGGCTTATTTGGATCTGTGTATCTCCAATAATTAGTCGCACAGTCACAACCATATCTGCAATTCACTGGACATCTTCTGGCAATGCTTTTATCGAAGGATTAGCATGTATTTTCGTTACATGGAATGAAGCAGCGCCAATCTTCATGGTTTTTCATTCGACATGGGCAAGTATTGCATACATTTGCATGGAATTTTACTTTTACAGTACTCTTCGGTAACACAACGAACGCATTTGTCTTGTGCAAATCCTTCTGCGCATATACAAATACTTTTTGCATTTTTTCACATCGTTTGCACTTTGAATATTTGCCATTCAAAACATCTGTGCAAGATCTACAAATTCGATTTTTGTATTCATTATCACAAGCCACACGTTGAGCATTTGGATCGGAGCATGGATCCCATAACGAAACTGTGCAATCCTTTTCACAGTCACACAATAAAACACACTGATCACATTTGTTTCGATAGTATTTTGGGAAATAATTCTCAAATGTGGACAAATTCTAATCACTGAATTATCATAACAACCGTATAACGTTGTGTCACATAACATTCAACATTTTAATTATTTTTATGCACCGCATTCATCTCGAACATATCCGGATTTACATACGCAACGATCTCCTTTGATCTTATCTTTTATGAACACTTCATATTCCAAGCAACAAACTAAACGTGATGATGCATTCATTATTCATTTTGGAGCAAAAAGTAACTTTTAATATTTACTCCAAATCGGAATTATACTCAAATGTTACCTCCATGAACAATAAAAATGCTTGGAAAAGCTAGTAACAACCAAAACGTACTCATTTTATTACAATGATCTATCGATTGAAATCGGCACTTGTATCGTCAAAAGTATAAAACACCTCCTTTCCCTTATTTAAATAAACTTGAATGTCGTTCTGATATCAGCAGCTTTCGTTCGGCATATGCTTTAAGAGAAGATTGCAAAAAAATAAGATTTCAAGCAAATATTCTATAATTGTGAAACTTTCATAAAAAAATCAAATTCGACGCAATGAAAATCTCTTGAAACCGTGTGTGTTTTGCAATATAAAAATGTGGAATTGAGATAATCTCTCATACATTGTGGCAAAATATCCAAATACAGTAAAAAAATTGATCGATGTCATTTACATCATATGAACACCTGCCAGATGTTGTGAAAGTCAATCTTCCCAAATGATATAAAGTATTCACCTAATGTGGATACCACACCATTCAGAACGTTTTTTCACTACAGTCAAGATATGTATAAAGTCATCATTTTTATTCTTATTTTGGCGACGATTCTACAAGCTCGCGCCAAAGGTGTTGTAGAGCGGGTTTGATAAAAACTTAAATCATTTGTTTAAATGATTGTTTCTTTTTTTTTAAATTTAGATCGCAGCCCAGTTCCGCGTAAAAAACAACACAAAATTTGTGAATGCATCAATGATTGCACTTCAAAAAAGTGCGAAAATTATTATCGCCGTATGGTTATGAAGTGCACATCAGTATGTTCGCTTAAATGGAATTGCGATGTTGGATATTGGGAAATAGATGATGTCTGTCAACCAGAAGAAGTATGCTTGAAGGCATGGAAAGACGGCGTTTTTGGAAAAAAAGTTCCCACGTGAAAAGATAAAATCAATGTTCCACAACTATTATTATTTTATAAAGTTTATTGAATGATATTATTCATTTGGGGCAATTTTTGGCGAAAATCTTTTTCAATTTCAATCATAGCACGTAAATAAAAACTTACAGCTGTGAATTGAAAAATATAAAACATATTTTGACTCCCGTGGATTTATTAGATTAGACTTTTGATTTAAACTCAAAAAATTCCAGTTCCAAAACGGTGTTGAATGAATAACTATCGCATTCGATTAGTTGATTTAAGGTTTTTATTTTAAAATTTGTTCTATAGAATTCTAAACTTATATAATGATTTTTGTTGCTTCAGATGCCATTAAATAATGTTTGAAATTAACATTTACTGTCAATGAATGTCGAATTTTACTTCTTCTGATTGATATCAAAAAAATACATATCATATGTTTTTTATAGATAAATTAATTTATTATTATATTATAAACAGCTCAAGTAATCTGCGTTCGCTTTAAAATTGTTTAATCAATAAAACTGCTTCATTTGTTATTTTTTCGTCCTCGTCTCATAATATGAGACTCATATGAAAAAGGTTGCGATTGAATTAAATGTTCATAAGTGTCATGAGATTCTCGCCTCTTCGACTCGATTATTGGATACTTCTTTTCTGTTGTTGTTACTGCTGCCTTGTATACAATATACAAATGTTTGCTCTTTACCTCATTTAATTTGTCTATTTTGCTAAAAAAAAACTACTAAACAAACGCAATGTCATACAATTTAAACAAAAAAAAAATGAAACTCTTGAACTATTGCAAAAATTTACACACAATCGAATGTATGCCGAATGGACTTTCAAAGGGCTGAATTTGATATACGGGGATATAAACTTAAATGTAAACAAATTTTTATAGAAAGATGATAAAAAGAAAAAAAAAAAACAATTTTTAAGCGATATTAGCAATAAACCTAACTATTTTCTAATTTCGGAAAGATCGCACAATCACTGTGTGTTTCATTTGATTACCACATTTGTGGATTGTTGCAATTTTCTCTTTTGGCGAAATTTGCCCACATAGGCTTCAATTAATTTCTTGATTTTCTTCGGATTTATTTCGCCCGTACGATTATGACAAATCTGCAATAAATGATGATAAGATATGTTACTCGTGTACAATTGGCATTTGTTTAAACTATGTTTTACATACTTTTGGGACTGCTCGTCTCATGATTTCCTTATATTCATCCTTGGTGATGTGTTTTTTGTTATAGTGCGGCTTCAATACCAGTTTTACCTCTTCGATGACACGCTCTTGACGATTAAGTTTTCTTAAGAACTATTTGGTTTTATCGAAATAGACATTTTTTGATTACAATTAACGAAATGAATTTCAAAAATCAACAGCACATTTTGGCCTACCTTATCTTTGGCTTGTAGTTCTACAGCAGAGCTAGGTACATCCAGGTCAAGAATGCGTAATTGTTCCTCGTTGAGTTTCGTATAACCGCCCATTTGTGTCGAATGTTTACTCACTGCAATCCAATCTGGTTTATTAGTGTTTTTGTCGAGAAAAAAAATGTTTTCCGTAACAAGAAATAGGGAAAAAGAACCACAAGGAGAAAGAAAATAGAAAGTAGTCACAATTTACGACCAAACCAAACGCGTACAATCACATTGTGTTTGAATAGTAAATGTAATGATTTTTTCCTTCTAACATGTTATGTACGTACCTTTAATTGATGAACTGTGTTTGCTTGGTCTTCGTTTTGTGGCCGCTTTGTTCTTGGTGATTGGTGACGTGCTTCCGAATAAGTCATCAAATATTTCACCTTTATTGGTTGAAGTTGTAGCACCGCCGCCGCCACCGCCACCCGACGATTTTGTTGTTTGACGTGAGCCATGCTTGCCGCCTGTATGTGTTGGCGGTGAGTTTGGTGGTGGTTCAAACCAGTCTTCATAGTCGGATGAACCGGGCGAATACGGTGATTCAATGTCCATGTTGTCATCGTTGCCATTGTGGCGTTGAGGTTTTGCTATTTTTGGTAGTGGTAATTTTGATATAATACTTCCCGACGTGTATTTCAATGGCGATTGTTTTGATACGGACGCGCTATTCGATAGATTTGTTATAGTTAAATTAGATGTACGAGATTGTGACGGTTGCGGTTGTAAACGTGAACTATCTTTAGCCGGTGTCAATAGAACATTGCTGAATACATGAATACCAGACGATTTTGTTGCGGCACTTTCACGAAAACCATCATCAATCGGTTTATCTTTGTATGGTGACACATTCGATTCATCATTCGGAAGAGCGGTTTCCATATCTTCACCGCCAAGTGTACTTGATAGCAACGAATTGGCTGCATCCATTGAGGCTTTCGAATTGATAAGTGCCATTGATAAATCAACTGATTTTGTTGATTTGCCATCATCGGTTGCCGATGTTGGTGCCTCATCAACGGTATCATGTATTGAATCGGTTGGCGATTGGGATGCTGATTTTGTTGGTTCAAATGGATCATATACATCTGGTGAGCATGGTCCACCGGGCGGTGTGTTTGGTCCAACTTTTTGTTGTGCTTGTACACTTGAGATTTGAACTTTGTCCGTTGTTGAAATCACATTTTCATTATTTGTTTCTTTATTTTCACTATTCGCATCTTCCTCTTCATCGTCATCGTCGTTGTCGTCGTGCAATGGATTAACAACGGTGCGAACAATTTTTGTTTTTGTACTAGTTGAAATAGAAAATTTAACGAGATGCGATGGTTCTGGTGGCGTTTTCGGACCTAATGGTAGTTCGAATGAGGCAGATTCAGTCGTGGGTGATTGTGGTGGCGATGATACACGAATATTCGTTTCTCGCGCATCGATGGACGAATGATGTTTGTCATTTGAAATACTTTCGGTTGCATTTGATGTCATTGAATAGTTAAGCGATGACGTTTTATTTAATTTATCACTTTCGTGATCACTATCGCTAAGAATAATGACGGCCCGTGGTGATGGTGTTACCTCTTTAAATGGCGAATTATCTAAATCGATGATTGCAACTGGTTTAATATCGACCTTTCGATGCTTTCGCGGCACATCTCTACCATTACGACGTGAACGCTTCGAATTGACATCCCGTTCTCTTGGCTTATTTTTATTTAGTAGTTGTTCTTTTGTTGGCGGTAATGTAACAATTGTCGTTTGTTGCTGTTGTTGTGGTTTATCTTTATTAAAACTGACGCTAACCAAAATATTATCGCCCGATGCAAACACCTCTTTTGATGGGAGTGCTGGTGAATTTTGTTTTTCGGTTCGTTTTCGTTTCTCCTTACGTTGAATTAATTCAGTTTTTCGTTTTTCTGTTTTTCGCCTTTTGTCACGTTTTCGTTTGTTATCTTTGTTTTTCAAAATGACCGTTAGATTTTCTGGTGCGTGTGCAATTGGTGGTGTCCATGATAATTCAGCTTCATTGGGCACATCACTCATGCTACGATTCCATGAACCTCTGTCATTCCACGATTTGGAACGTGACAAACGACGACGATCACCAGGCGAAAAATCTCGACGATTTGGCGAATGGAATGGTGAGACTTTTTTCGGTCCGGTCACTTTTTTCTTTGCACGATATTTTAACGTCTTTTTGTCATTTGATTTCTTCTTTGATTTCTTATCTCTGCTTCGACTTCTTGAATATGCACTATGCATGTGATACATGCCACTGTGGGCTGGTCGCGGTGAATATGAACGAGATCTAGATTTAGACTTTGATGATTGACCATTTATTATGCGGCCTCGTGAATTCGAACGCGATTTACTGGAAGTGTAATAACGATTTCTAGATACAGAACGACGACGTCTTAAGCTGGCGCTTCGGCGCGATGGCGACCGTCTTCGTCGTGAATGAGAGCGATGTCTGGAAGGTGAACGTCTTCGCGCTGATTGATGACCTGTAAATAATAGAAATTTGTTTGTAATAATGATAAAAATGTCTACAAATTCAAAACTCACTTGGTGAAATGGAACGTGAAATGGATCGAGATTTGCCTCTTCGTGGCGTTATACTTCGTGGTGGACGTGACGTATCGCGCCCATATCTGTCTTTGGCCGATCTTGGTTGTCTGTCTGCCATCATTACGCGCACATCATAGCGTTGCATTTCTTGTCGTTTTTCTCGATTTTTATCTCTATTGTCTTTGCGACGAGATCGCCTATCGCTACCGCGATTTCTCCTTGGTGACCTTGATCTTGATGACCTTGATTTCGAGCGTGAAAACGAGCTTCGCGATCTGGATCGACGACTTTTGGTCTTGTTGGGTCTCTTCGTCTCCTTTTTATCGCGATAATTTCTTTCCTTGTTATTTTTGCTCACCTTTTTGAATGAATCATCACGATCGGATTTTCGATTGTTGTTCTCTTTGTCGGCTTCAAGTTCCTTTGATACTTGATCATCATGAAGGTCATGTTCATCTTCAGAAATCATTTCAGTGTCCATACCTTCGATGCCAAGATTTGAATTTTCATTTTTGTCGTTGCTCGTTTTTGCTTGGGCATCATCGGCATTCGGCTGAACCTCTGATTTATCAACAGGCTGATCTTCCGACTCACTAATGTCATCCATTTCTTTATCTTTGCCCATCGTGGGCTCATTACTTTCGCATTCATTATTCAACGGTGGCGTTTTTGGCGATTCAGTTCCTGTAGTTTCGGGACTAGCAACGGGTGATTCAATTGATTCAGCCGTTTCCAATTGCGTCTGATTTGCTTGATCTTCGGATATGCCAGTTTCATTACCAAAATTTTCATCGTCATCAAGTTGCACCAAATCTTCATCGTTTTCCATATTATCATCGACGCTTTGTTCAATTTTATTTGGCGTACTATCCGGTGAATCCTCTTTATCATCTTTAACCACTTGCATCGATTCGGCTGAATACTTAAAAACTGGCGCATCATCTTCATCGCTATCCGAATAGACGCCACTTGTAGTTGAAACCGGTTGATCGTGCGACGATGAAACTTCACTTGTGCTCTGCACATTATTTGCATCTTGAATATTATTCGATTCGCAATCAGGACTTTGATTGGACGCTGGTTGTGTCAATGGTAAATTTTGATCGGCCTGTACAATGCCATCGGAGTCTGGTTGAGCATTCTTTAAGCGTGAACTCAAATCGTTGTCAGCTGTAAACAAAAACACCAAAAAGTAAAAAAAAATTACACAAAATTCATCAAAGCTAAAAATTGAAAGTAGAAAAAAAAATGGTTACATTGAGTTGGCATGTCTGGTATTGGAGGAATATCTTCACCATCGTAGAGGCCTTGTGGCTGAGGTTGCGGTTGAAATTGATTCCGTAGCAATCTTTGATTAGTGTTTCTTTGTCGTTGAAATGGTAAACGATTTCTCGGCGACAAATTGTCTTGTTGAAAGTTATTCGTAATGGCACCACCTCCGCCATCACCAAAGTTGGCTGCACGTTGAAACGATGAAAATGATGTCTGTTCATTTCTGTCACCAAATTGATTTTGTGAATAGTGTCCTGTATTTTGATTGGTATTATTTGTTCGATAACCGTTCGAATTGTTAAAACTTCGATTGCTACCGCCGTCATTTCTTGGATTCATTGGTGCATTTAGAATATCAGCATTTGGTTGTTGTTGTTGTTGTTGTTCAGTATTGTGGGATGTTTCATTTGATTTTTGTCCACATTCCAAGCTGCCGTCCGCATTGATTTTAATTTTTTCAATAGTAGACGGTCGACTCATAGAGTGCCATCGATTCATAGTATCCATGATATTTGATAAAATATCAGTGCCACCCTCTGAATCACCGGTCCCCATTGTTGAATTAATTCCAACATGTTTGCGTCTTATCAAATTCCGATGAATATTCGGACGTGCTCTAGACATTATCAATAGGCCATCACCCGTTTCAATGGAATTATTTAATGATCCAATTCCTTCATCGTCGTCACTATTGCCCGAAAAGTAATCGAGAGCATTTTTATTTCCAAACAAATGTAATTTTGGATATTCTTTGCGAAGACCTTTTGTTAGGCTGCCACTTAAAATAGTGTCGACGACATTTTGTGAATCTTGGCCCTGATTTCGTCGTGAACACTTCACGCCGGACTTCTTTCGGGATTTTTTCGTTTTGCGACGACGCTTCTTAATAACACGTTTGGCAGTTTTAATACCAAATTTATTATTATATTCATCAACATCGTATTCAACTACGTATGTTCGACGTCTACGCTGCACTTTACGGCGTCGCTTTTGCACTTTCTTCTTCACCACCTTTGATTTTCCTTTCTTGGTTGTTGTAGATGTCACTGTTGTTGTCGTGGTTGTAATTGTTTCAGTGCTACGAGATGGGCCTGAAAAAAAAATATGCATTAATATCGTCAACTATTTTCAGAGAAAAAAACTGAATTCTACCTGGCATTGAAAGATCCCAAACAGATTCAACATTAACATGATTTTCTTGGCGACGATTTCGAATGGTTGTTCGAATACGTTCACTTTGTCTAGTTCGTGTAATGCGTGGTACAACCTCTTCACGAACTCTAAGTCGCGTTGTTGGTGCCACAAATGATTCCATTTCGGCCAATACATCAGGAATATCATCGTCGGTTACTTCGCTGGCAAAACAATTATCACAATACCAAGAACCATCGGGTATTTCGGTGAGTGGTGGTATCAAGCAATCCATATGATAGCCAGCATCACATCCATCACATAATAACATAATATCTTCACGATCCGATTGATTGCATATTTCACAGTGGGTAACATCCATTTCATTTTCTTTTGTTTCGGCTGTTTTTGCCATTACGGCATCTTCGCGTACAAAAACACCATCATCGTATCGCGAACGAATGCGAATGGTTGTGAATGGTTTTCGATCAATTGGACATGTTTGTACATTGCTGGACCATTCATCAATGCACGGTGCACAAAAACTGTGATCACAAACATTTGGTGTGCCGATTTCTTGGTCACGAAATGCATGCAAGCAAATCGGACATTTTTCCATTAAATCACAACTACTGTCTGTATCGGAACTCTCACTCAAAGTAGATTGCTTAACACTTTCGGTTTTATGTGGCATTGACGATGATGTGGATGGTTGATTTTTAACGGGACTCCACGAATCGTCTGTCGATTCATCACTTTCATCGATACAATTTTGAGCTTTAAATTTTTTTCCCATTTTTCGTTGCATCAAATTTAATGGAGCATCACTATCACTGGAACAATCATCACTGGTCGCTTGAATTGTTTTCTTGATTCGTGTTGGTCTCTGTATCCGATTTGATGGACCAGCTTCATCACTATCGCTACCAGCGCTGCTACTGTCCTCAAATTGAAATTTAACAACGACGCTCTTCTTCGTACGATGGTTTTTCTCTTTTTCCGATTCACTTTCCGAGTCAGACATTTTGTCAATTCTATACAAGCCAAGCAAAGAATTAAAAAAAAAAAGATTGAATAATTAGTGAAATCAAAGAACTTTTCGGGTAATTCGATAAAAATGATAAAATCATTTCATTTATTATTCGCAAATGATTGTTTCTATTCGATTTTATCGCATATTTTAGCTTGATTACGCTTTTTCATTTTTGTATACACTCATAACAATAATAACAATAATAATCGATAAGGTAAAAAAAAATTCTCTCAATATCAAAATATTAAATCACATACAAACTCACCCGCTGACTATTTAATTTCAACTGATTTTTGTGTAATTGCTTACATCAAAACTACTGGAATCTTTTAAAATGAGTAAACAACTTAATTTATCTATTTGTCGCGAGTATAATTAGTGTAGATTTTTTTTGCAAGCGAATGATATACGAAGAGTGAATATCTTTTGTCTAACATCTAAGATGGCGATGGAAACGAATTGAGTAGCTTCCAATAAAACGTTTGGGTGAACTGTCAAAATTGACGACCATTCGTGGAAAGTTCATGGCATTCAAAATGTAAACATTCTGTTGAGAGTTTTTGAAATAAGTTTTTTTCACTCACTTTTAATTGATTTCGTTTCGAATTGATTTCATTTTGTTCATTTATTTCGTTTTGATATTTTTTCTCTGAAAATTTTAATTATTAGTTTTTATAATGAATGGAAAGTGATAATCGGTAAAATACTTGTTGTATTGACAGCCGCTGTCGCCATTTTCACACTTCCAATGGCAGCATACATATTGGAATATTCCACACTCACACACACAACACAATGGAAGCGAGTGGTTTGTTCGGTGTATGTTAACTTGATTGATTTCACCTAAAAATAGCTAGCAATTCTATATGTAACTATGTACTCAAATACATTTTTCAATTTTTGACTTTTACCGAATATCACGTCAATAATCGGACGAATGGAAAGTTATACTACGATATTGGAAAATTTAATGGGAATTTTTATTATCAATGAAATTACGGTTTTTTCATTCATTTACTTGAATGAACTGAGTATTAATGAAAACACCGTTGAATGAATACCATTTTTTGGCTATTAGCCCATTTTTATTATGTATCATTATAAAAAGAAAAATTTAAAGACCAAAGAAAATTGTAAATTATGCAGTGTCCATTGGAGTGGCGCTTGTGGATGCGATTGGAATAACGGTCTCTTCGATATCAAATTGGTGAATTTTCGTATCGAGTACGGCTGTTGTGCCCAGTTTGAAGTCATAATTCAACTATGGAATGAAAGAAAATATTTTAAATATGTTCATAATTTCGTCAAGTGTCCAGTAAAACTTACAGCACGTCGCCCCTTCTCATTGGCATATTCATAACCGCGCAAATATTCTACGGTTCCTTTTTTGATGACTGTCAAATCAATGTTCGATCCGGAGCCAAGATCGTTGAATACACCCGAGGCGATTGCATCGCGAACCAATTTTTTGGCTTCCTCTTCTTCCATATTCGGTTTCCAACGAGCTAAAATAAATTTAAAAAAATGATTTCCCTTCAAAATTTTGAGTACTTTTAATGAATTTCAAGCGAAAATCACCTTCAAACACAGCCATAGCAGCCAAACTGCCCGAACCCATTGTTGTGTATGGCAATCGGTCTGTTGATCCATGGGGATGAATTGAATAAATATGTGGCCCGCTAATATCGACACCACCCAATACTAAAGCAGCACTAACATGGCCTTGATAACGGAATAGCATTCGTTTGAGCAGAGTGTTGGCGGTGGCAACACGCACTTCACGTCCAGTATTCAAACGAAGCAATTCCAATTGCGATGAAATCATATTTGTTGTCATTTCTGTATCGGCTGCTGTTCCAGCACCGCAACAACTAAAATGATGAACAAGCAAATAATTAATCGTTTCTTCTGGAATTCATTGAATATATTTTTTTATGATACGTACTACATGTTCTTGGCCAAAAAGTGAATTTTCTCACAATTCTTGTCGGCTACAATTGGACCTTCGGTGGCACGAGTGTCAGCACCAAGAACAACACCATCTTTGAAAATAATGCCGACAATTGTTGTTCCCGTTTTAATCGATTTTGGTACTTTGAAACCATTTTTAATCATCATTTCATTGCTAATTTCATCATGAAAATATAAATTTATTCGCGATTAATATGATAAATTGAGGTTACGTTTCCCATCAAATGACAATGCACAAATCATTTTTTGTTTCAGAATTACTAAACTTACCGTCGACAATTCTCAAAATTAAAACCCGACTTTCCGTAATCGGCAAATATTTTGCCGTCATCGAACATTTCGTAGCTTGAAACTGCTGCCATTTTACAAAAATTTCTAAATTTCTGAAGTTTACAAACAATTGGACTAAAGTGTTACACAGTCGCTTACTGACAACAAATATTCTACTAAACAGCGAACGCCGAACGCAGAAATATGTCAAATCATTCCAATCAAAGTCGGATATAAGATATGCTAGCGACATCTTTGATCTCAATAAATCATCTCAAACACATCTATTCGATGTTTCGACTAAAATTTTCAACTTTTTATTTCATTTGAAATTTAAACAAACAAAAAAACATATAATCTCATTTATTGCTTGAAAATGTTCAAAAACATTTAACAAGAGAAAACTTACGTTTGCTTTAGTTTTTCTAGATAGCATTGGAAAGTATCCGGTTTTTTTAACTATGACAGTTCGGCCCGTCAAGTCATTAATGTGAAATGTCAAATACACATTCCAATTGTAAACACTTGTGAAGCAAATTTATTCGATTTCAAAAAGTCAAAAGATACAATATAATAAACGTACAAAATCAAAATGGTAATAATAAGTACCGAAAATTACGAAAAAATTGTTGAATTTTGTTCAAAATTCAAAGGTTTAACAATACATTGTGAACGACAGTTGCATAAAAAGTTTTCCGACATTGATTCACAAGTTTTGTCAGCGATACTGTCAAAAGAATGGCAAAAACACATCAAACAACGGCATCACATTATTTTAAAATCCAGTCGAATTTATTTACAAGAGTAAGTTGTATTTTTGCATAACGAAGTAAAGTAGTTTCATAAGTATATTTTGTATTCAGGTACAAAGCACAAGCCCGATTGAAAGGTGATCCATTTATTTTACTTCAAATTGCCATTAGAGAAAACTTTTCGCCGGTTTCACTGTGTCGAATCTTGTTGAGCGTTGAATTTGAAGGCAAACCAAAGTCCGTGACCAATGAAATGATAAGAAATCCACACCAGATACCAGATCCATTGTTGGCGGCCAATGTATTGAATTGTTTGCTCAATGATAAATCGGATGGACCAATAACCGATTTGAAACGACAAACAATTGGCGAAGACTATGAGATTCGATTGAAGAAATTGGCATCGGATGCGGGTCTTAATTTTCACGATGAAGTTTACTTACGGCGAAAGGGATACGATAAGACGCCCGACTTAAAATTGGCCGTTCCATGTATGTTTAGAGGTAAAATCATTAACTGGATTGAAAGCAAAGCATCATTTGGTGACATGGCCTCACATCAACAATATATTAAAGACCAATTGTTAAGCTACGGAAACAGGTAATTAGAAAAAATCACAATTAGAAGTGTAATTATTTTTAGTTTTTGGATTATTCTATACATTTTCAGATTTGGCAGTGGTATCATTATTTATTGGTTTGGATATTTAGATCAAATTGGTAGATGCCCCGAGAACAAAGACTGTATTATTGTAACAGACGATTTCCCGAAAAAAGACGAATTAGTGTTGATAAATAATCCTTTTGGACCGTTATTAAGTAGTAATATTAGTAATATTACTAATCTGTTGTAAATAAAAATATTTTTCTACTTCACAATATTCGTTGTTCTGATAATATTATTGAAATGTCAAATTCACTAGGATGTGTTTATGTAAATGGAAGGAAATTCTCTACCTTTTTAATTATTATCAAATGATGTAAGTAAACAAGGATGAAGCGTAAAACTACAGTTTGAAGTGTTAAAGGGAAATTAATCTAGTCAATTGTTCATGCTGTAAATGCTTCATCAATATAATAAAACTTAAAAAAAGTTTAAGCTTTCCATGAATTTACTTAACGACGCAAAATAACACTTTTCATTACTCAATATTCGACTCCAGATCCTAAACAGTATTCTCCATCATCAAAGCTGCACTCATTGCATTAATGGTGCATGCAGTTTGAAACATATCAGTCATTATATAAATAAAGCCTCTTTTTTGTATTTCGAGCAAAGTGTGTTGTAAAATACTTTAGTAAACATCTACTGGAAAAGAAAATTTTAATTGCTATACAGCGTGTGTACTTTGAGACAGGAAGAGAGTTTATTCCAGAAGAAAACTTCTATGAAAAATCTTAACTTGTTGTTCTTGCCTAGGGCGAGACGTGGAAGTGGTTGTCTAGTTTTGCACGCGGATATTTTTCCAAAATTTCAAGTTTCACCGAAAAATAAGACAATTGGCCCCATGCATAGATACGGACTGCACGTTCAATGTAGACACACATATATACATCGCTGACATATCCGCAAGGTATATCTATTAAACATAGAGCTACACATTATTGCCGCATTGAATGTAATTCACATGCACATGTTGATATTTTAAGAGAAACATTTTCAAACTCAACGAAACATTGTTGTACCTTTTTCTCTGTAACTTATATCAAGTTCGCTGCATTCACACAAAATCATTCGCATTAATATCATAGTCGTTTATTTTTGTTGATGCAAGCAAAGTTTAAGCTGAAGCCTGAATGCATTTGCTCGCTTATAATATCAATGTTGCACAGCTAAATGCACCATTTCAAATTGCAACCATTCAAATACGCTCTTCAAATATAAACTTTTCCCGAAAAGTGGTTCGCACCTAAGCGAAATATTTGCTACAAACAACCAATTCAAGGACTCTTCACCAAACTTCAATACGACTGCAATGGGAAATATCAAATGTTAGCCGAAGAATAAAAAAAAAACAACAACAAAAATCAGGACATGGATAGAGAAAAAAAATTGTGTCAAACATTTAAAGAAAGCACGAAAGTAAATGAAACATTTTTTATCGTGACATCGAATCGTACATGAGTTTAAGGGTGGTGAGAGAGAGAGAGAGAGAGAGAGAGAGAGAAAGCGAAATGGAAAAAATGGAATGTAATACATGCCTTTTGTTCTATAAAACAACTCCTCTTAAGACATACAACGAGAAAACTATGATTATCCATTTACAGACATCTCTGGCACTCGGTATGCCGTTTCCTGTATGCCTCTCGCTCTCTATCATTTTCTCTCATTTTTTCTCTATGTGTGTTTGCATCGCATTCGCTTGTGGCCCTCTTCAGTTCGTTAGCAATTTTGCAAGAGGAACGGCAAACAACAAATGTAGCGTAAATAACAAAAATTGTTTCCAATTTCCGTCGACTCCATTGTGCATACGAGCAACGGCTTTTCTGTTTTCATTTTCACAAACTTTGTACAACAACACGAGCGAGAGAGTAAATTCCATGTTTTGTTGAGATCCTTTCTTAAATCTAGTCTTGCGTTCGATACACGCATATTCTTATGAACTTACATTGTTTGGTTTGCATGTGTGTGAGTGTGTTTGTATATGAAAACTTGCCACATGCATTTATGGATTACAAAAAAGCTTTCAGTTGGTGCTTAGCTAATGTTTGTACGTATGCTATATCATTGAAATAGACAACAAATTACAATTTGTGTTTTCTTCTAATTGTTTTATCCTTAATAAATTAAATTCAATTTATCCCGAATGTGATGTATGCACAATAATCGATTGTGTAATTATTTATTCACCAAACACATACACATGCACACAACCACGTCTTATCTTGTTTTTCGAAAAGCAATCAAGAAAGTTTCAAGTGAAATTCGAATACAATGAATACGAAAAATATTGTTACAAGGATTTTATGTTTCAGTGAATGTAACAGTTTCATACAAATTTGTTACATTGTGTTGATATATATCGCAATCACTAAAAATCATTCAATGTACCACTGAATGCATCGCTAGCTGCGAATATCATCTTTGATGAATTTTTCTTTTAAAATTATGTACGATTTTAAACATTTTCTTCTACAAATAGAAAAAGAGATAGATCCACCTCTCATGTGTGCTCTTAATATTATCTTATACTTATTTTCTTTTCATTCATCAGATGCTCTCAAATGATTTCTGTTTATTGATGCAGATATTAAGTGAAAGAAAAATTGAATTCAATTTCTGGCTTGATTTCTAGATTCTCTGGATGAAAAATACTAATGAGAGATACAAAATAACGAAATTCAATTAGAGAAAATGCATCAGAAGAATAGGTGGATTAACCCCAATCACCAGCATAGACAAACAACGGAGAGGGAGTTCACTAATCGTTCTTAAATTATTTTGCTCGTTTGCGAAATGTATTACTTGTGCGCTTTCGCGCTACATTACGCGTTACAAAGGGAAAGACATTGTTATGGACTATCTCATTAAATTTATATTCACAGTAATTAGTGTGAGTCCACTTCAATATAGTATGTTGGCTTTTATCCTTTCTTTTGAAATGTCCATTTCTTTTAATATCATCAGTCGTATTCAACAGCACCGTAAGAGAAAGGGGCACACAAAAAACACAATCTGTACAAGATTATAAGCGAATTTCATGGCGTAAAAATTGCATTTTTCCTCACTAAAGTCAAAACCAGACCGAATGACTGACGTTGAAAGAGAGGGTAGAAAGAAATGTAAACAGTTAACAGCGTGAAATACTACAATAAAAAAGGATTTAAAGCGAAAAAAAACGAAATTCATTATCCTGTTTTAACATTTTATGGCCCGTCTGAAAAATAGAGTTTAATTGCCTTTCATAAAAAAACGATTTTATTATATGTTTTATGATGAGGCTGCCGTCGCCATTCTATCGACAAAAAAGACAAAAGATTAAGCTTGATAAAAGTGTGGGCCATGTCGAAAGAAGATGATATACATTGTTCTAGTGAAGATATCTTCATTTGACCGAATGCTATTCATGTTTTTACTTTTCCGCACACACCTAGTGTGAAAGGGGAAAGTATTGCAATAGGTCAAAATTTACGAAACCTCAAAAACATGTTTTCTGGACGTTTCTGAGGTCAGAGAACCCGAATCAGGCCGTTTTGAGCATGGTTGTTGTGGGTCGCTTCCACGTCGTACGTCGTACGTCGTACGTCGTACGTCGTACGTCGTACGTTGTCCGCCGTACGCAAAATTTGTCCATCGATTTTTTCACCACCCAGAAAAGTTATTTGAAATCTGACTTCACGGGATGATTGGGGGTCCCCAGGAATAGAAATCATCAGATTTTGAGCGACTTTGGTTGATGGAAAAAAATTCCATGCCTGGAGTGATACCTATGAAAAAGAGTCCAATTTTCGTCCAAAAGTCATACTTAATGTAGACTTAAACACTCAAAAATATGTATTGGGGGGTTTTTTGGCACGAGAAAACCGAATCCGGCGTTAGTTTTGAGATGCAATCAATTTTTAATACAGTTTCCTTGAAAAAATCACAAAAAATTTGGATTTTTGTATGGGAGCCATGCCTGTATGCTACCTTAATGACGTGAAACTTTGCACAGACTATTTTTTACACAAAAGTATAACATTCTGAAAATTTGAAGAGATTTCAATTAAAATTAGGGGTACCTCCCATACAAAATTTTCAATTGGCTCAAAAACGAATATTTTGTATGGGAGGTACTCTTGATTTTGGTTGAAATTTCTCCAAACCCTCCGAATGTTATTTGTAAAAAAAATAACCTGTGCAAAGTTTCACGCCATTAAGGTAGCATACAGACAAGGCTCCCATACAAAAATCCAAATTTGTTGTGACTTTAGTTATGAAAAGTGTTTCAAAAATAATCTTTATGGCAAAATTAACGTCAGACATATTTTTATAGTATTTTGTTAGAAAATAGAATACTTTCAAATGTCGTACAAATGGGTTCATCATGAAAGTGTGAAAAATATTTTCTCGGCTACTTCTGCTATTAAATTAAAGAATATTTAGTTGCCAAAGTTGAAACATATTTTGGTCTCGAACTTTACGCCGCTTGAAAGACTTGAAGAATCGAGCAAATATTATTTTGAACTTTCTTAATAAAATACGCAACTACCACCGTGCGGAAAAGTTCGTCTTACTCCCGTAAGACTCTTTATTTATATAGAAAAGGCGGTTATTGTTTTCATGGTTCAAAAGTCACAGCGCAATCTGATGACAATGGGTGGCCGCCTTCGCTTAAATGAATTTCAAATATATCTTTATTATGAAAAATGAGGACTCAGGTATTCTAGAAAAAAGAGTTGTGGGACGTTTTACACCGAGTTAATGAATAAGAAGCTCAATTTTCAGACATTGAAATCATTATGGGTGAATTTTTTTTTTCTTTTTTTTTTCGCTAATTATGGATTGAACATCCTATATTTTGACATTTTATCGCATTGAAATTTTTTTAAATGATAAAATATGGGCAATCCCAGTCTAACAAGTTCAATATAAATTAAATAATTAACCGATATAAAAATATCATACTTTGAATTAATTATATGGAATACGCATTAGAAAACTCTAGTATATACAATAATGTAAACAATTGTATTTTTCAATTAATCAAGAAATTTTAACCTTTTCACTATTATGAGTCTTCCATTCTATGTGATATTTTGTCAATTCTAGAATATGGTTTGATACAAATGTGTATTGTGTTTCTCTTTTGCTGGATTTCAAGAGTTCAAAGTCACAACATAATCTGCTTAAACTGGCTATTCTCACTTATATAAGATTGAAAGTCATTTCTATTTTTAA